TACATTAAAACAAGAGATGAACAATGGATTTGTGTCTAAAAGGAGAAAAACTCACACCCTGACACTTTCTCAGGAAAATACACAAAGGTGCTGCCCCAGACTCATGAGATTGCTTTCAAATTGTTTGAGGGGACACGGGGAACAAAACCACAAGTTATTCTGGATTTTGTGGATATATTGGTTTTGTTTTCCAGCTTCCCCAGGTAGTAATTATAGGCCTGCTCTGTTTTGTCACAGATATTTGCAGCCAGAAGCCTCAAAACCATGGGGCTGTTCTGATGGGTTTTTCCACCAGTGCAGGCTCTGTGGTGTCCCAACATCAGAAGCCCCACAGTATCTGGAACACTCAAGAAAAACTGTCTGGAAACAGAAATTCTTTTCATTTCTAAGAAATGTCTTACATTTTCTTTAATTCAGTTTCTTAAAGATGGTGAAAAAGGATTTTCTGTTGCAAGTAATTTCATTTGGTGTCATAATTACATCTTGATTAATTCTATCCACATTTAAAATTAGGAGGGGTTTTGTTGGTTTTTTTTTTGTTTTTTCCTGATCTGCAGGGTAGATTTTAAAGATTTTTTATGACTACAAGCAATGTGAACTGGGAAGGACTGTGATAACCTGCCAACAAAGCAGGTTTGGGGACTGAGAGGGACAAATGACAGGTGTGACAGGGGCAGGACTGTCCCTGGGATCTCTGCAGTGACATTTTGAGGACACAAAGCCTCTGGCAGCTCTTGTGCAGAGAAAAGCAGGCTGCTATTACACACACCTCTGCCTCCTCACTTTGCCCCTGCTGGCACCAAAACCACCATGCCTGCTGCCATTTCCTTCTAGGACAGAAAATCACCAATTTTCCTTAAAAAATAATCTAGACCCTGGTTTGTATTAGCTTGCACCCAGTCCTAACCCAGCTTGTAAACACCTTGGAGCAGATTCTTTATTTTTTTTTTGGCTTTTACCCACCTGAGTGTGGTTTAAATGCATCCTGTACCACAGCTAGGGATCCTGGATCAATACAAGTAGGGATGGAAAATAACACTGTGCTCTAAACTGCTGTGACTAATTCCTTGGATTAGAAATACCAAAAAACAATTCAATCCATACTGCAGGATTTTATCTGAGGCCAAGTACTAATTAAAAATTTTACCTGCTTTTTCATGGAATGATAGCAAAATACATCTCCAAATCTGGTTTTGGCTCATCAAACCCTGTTGACAAAATGATTTGTTTTGAGAATTAAATTAAAGCCTTTTCAGAAGAACTCTCCTCAAATGGAAACAAGGAAATCAGCCCTCAAATGTGTCATCCTTGGAAAACCCAACAGGACATTGGTTCTCCTGCTGCAGTGCCTGTGCAGAACACGGAGCACAGAGCAAACTGACAAAATAATTGGATTATACATGCACAATTCAGACTTTCAGTTACTGGGTGCTTTCTTGTTCCTGGTTTCCACAGAAAAGTCAGGTTTTTGTTCCTTAAGTCCTTGTACTGCTTATTTACATATGAAAAGGTAAGTTTATAAAAGAGCTTTCCTATTTTACTCCACCTAATAGTTAATAATTTAAATCTGTAGCCATTATCATCATATAGATTGACACAAATGGCATATGGATCATTCTGGGGATGAGGGTTAGTTTCTTTTAAGAGAGAATTGTTTTAGTTTTTGCAGGAAATTAATCAGGGGAATGGGCTTTGTGGAGCATGGAGCAAATCTAATCTGTTCTTTGTTCAAATTTGCCTTGCTCCAATTCCTAGCAATTGTAGACAACATGCTCTTTTGTTCAGGAGCCACTTGTTACATGCATAATTAGAGACTGCAGTAGCTGTGTTTAAAGAAAAACTGTTTTCCAATGTAATGTGTGATCTTGATAATAGTATTTTCATCAAAGGTAGCAATTACATTCATTAAGCTGGGACTGGCAAGGCAGCAAGGAAATTAAGTGGAAGGTGAATAAAAAGCTCCCCGTTCCTTTTTAAAATCTCTGCCTCTTTATAAGTTGAAATGCACCACGTTGAGCTGCAAACTGGAAAATACATACTGAATATAAGGGGGGAAAAAAGAAAGAAAGAAAGAAAGGAAAAAATAAAGTCCTCCTTAACCTTTCTGAATAATGATCCAGAAGATATCCTAGGGACACCTACTATAGATGCACTTTTCAAATTAAAGGGCTTTATTCTACATTAATTTCTTATGCAAGTTTTAAACGAGCTCAACATATGATTCAGGTCTTTAAAGGCTCCAGGGCTCTCTAGGATTAATTCACTGTTCTTTTCACACATGAATTAATTGTTTTGTGTTCTCAAAAACAGCAAACAGCACATAAATCAACCAGTTTGGAAAAGGCACAAGGCTGGTGCCTTTTGCAAATCACTGAAGTTTACTCTTTACACTCCATTGTTGCAATATGCAACTTTTAAAGGAAAAGCTGGGAAAGTAGGACATATGTTCTTAATTCTAAGTGGATTTCTTGAATGCATAACTCATTTCAGTGATCTGATTCCTTGAAAGACCAAAGTTGTGGAGCACAGAAAAGCTGTTCTTCCAGCATGCCAGTTGTTTATTTCCCAATTAATAAATCAATTACACATCACTAATATACTTGCAACCATTCCCACATAAAAAGAGCTAGTTGTGATGGATTTTTTTTACCTCCTTTCTGCCTTAAGCTTTGGAAGAGTGAGATTTGCAGATGGAAAAATATGAAAATATGAAGATGTGAGCGCAGAGCCCCACGAGGGGCTGTGCCCAGGCTGAGCAAACACAAACACAAACACAACAAGTTCATTTTTAGCCCCCCAAATCCTATCCTGATTTTATTCCAGGCTCTGTGTCCCAGGCTGAGGGGGGAAGTGTGTGTCCCCCACAGCTGTGTTGGCAGCAAGGGCAGGGCACCGCTGCTGACAAGTCACTGCTTCAGATCAGGGCTGAGGCAGGGTTTTGCAGGAAAATGCCCCAATTCAGGGTCTCAACCAGCACCAAGCAGAGCAGGTGACACCTGCAGCAAGGGGGATGAGTTAAATTTACCAGGAGGGCAGATACTGAGGGGGGTGGTGGCAGGAAATGTGCTCCCTCCTCAGCAGGGATGTCCCAGCCCACTCCCAGCTCAAGGTAAGAGAGAAAAGTGCAGCCAGAACCCAGCTGCCCATGACTCCAAAAATAACTGTTTGTCCCTCTCCCCTTCCCAGAAATAGAATCTGAAACCACAGCATCTTGGCCAAATTGGAATTTGTATAGTTCTGCGAAGCATTTCCTTCAGTTAGGAATGATTTAATTATTCTTCACTTCCTCTTCTAGAAATCATTCCTGGATAATGAGGTTAGCATAGAGCAGATATGTTTCAGTCAAGGAATAGATGTAATTTAGTGCCAGAAGGCTTTTACAGTTGGGGAAAAAAAAAAAAAAAAAGGTTTTTGGACACTTCTAAATAGAAGCAGCAGGATAGAGAAGGTTTGCTATTAAATTAGAACAGTCTGAGACACCAGACCATGGGGTGCTTTAACCCAGTGCTGTGTCAGCCCTGAAGAAACAGAGCACTCCCCTGCAGCCCAGATTCTTACACAAGGGTAAGAAGGCACATTTTAAATAATTATTAAATAATGGCAAGCTGCATTACTGCCAGAGAATTGTTTATCTCTGCAAATTGGATCACTGGAGTCAAAGCACAGTAGAGCTAAAATTCTTCCAGCATTCAATGGAAGATCTGTTGCTGCACCTTCCCTTGGTCCTTCGAAACTGTGAATCCTGCATGGCACTCAAATGTATTTTATGACAAATATCCTGTTGAATCCAGCTTTTATTATTCAAGCAACAGTCAAAATAAACTGCCTTATCAATCTAATGTAGGCACTGCTGCAATTAAACTCAGAAAATTATTTTCCTTCTAAAGCCTGGTTGGACAGACATTGAGAGGACCAATGGAGTTCAGCAGCTCTATTGAGCAAACAAGTTCTTTGGAGCTTTTCACTATTTAACTATGCTTCCAGAACCTTACCTTTTCTTTTTTAATTATTTCTGGATTATTTTTATGGAAGTTTAGAAAATTTCTTCTACAGAAAACCAAAAAGTGTCCAGAGAAGCTAATGTCAAACATCATGTTTTTTGGGAAGGATCTAAACAAAAGCAGAAAACTTCAACAACACAGTGTTAAATTAAAACCTGCTCTGTTTGTACGGAAAAATTTGCACTTAATTTGCATGTTTAGGATGCAAATTAAGGAATAGAAGAATTTTACAGGGTGTCCTTGAAAACAATTCAGGCCGAAAAAGGTCCAAGACTCTTGTGGCAAACTTGATGTGATGAGAAGGATGATCAGAAAATGATTCTGTTCCACTGAGGGCTGGGCCATTGCTTGAGATTGGCTGAATGTCCCTGGCTGAAGGCAGCAGAGCCCCTCTTTAGCCTCACTAAAAAGGAATCACTAAAAACTGGACTTTTTTTAGCTTGTCTAAGTCCTCCAATGTTAGCAGCTCTGCAGTTACTGAGAGGCAGAATAGCTTCAGAAAGATGTAAATCCAAATGATCTTGAAAGACAAAATATATAAAAATGCTATTACTGTCTAGTGAGACTGCACATACTTTTGATTTATATTTCTAAATATTTCACCAGAAAAAAATGTTACAGTGTACACTGCATGTTCCTTTGAACAATAAACAAGCTATTAGGGAAAACATTGGTTATTTCTAGTTACCCTGAATACATTCTGGGGCTGAGGAAAAGGATTTCTTCAGCTTTTGTGTATCCAGTACCAGCTCAGGGAAGTCAGACAGCTGCTTTCAAAACAGACTGGGCTTCCAATGGAGCTTGGCTTGGTAGAAGAACTTGAAATGTGTCTCTCACCAAAAGATTTTCAACTGGAAATGCAATAACATGTTAATTAGAAAAGTCTTTGCATAGCAAAAGGCTCCCAAAGAACAATAACTCTGTAGTTGATGTAAGCCTTTTCTAACACAATCTTTACATGGGGAAAAGAAAGCATGCAAGAAAGAACAACAGCACAGAGAAGATGATACAAAATGTTGTATTTGAGTATTTCCCAAGTAGTGATTAAACCCTTCTGTGGAAATCTGCCTTGATCACCAAGCAGAACAGAACTAGAGAAAGCTGACATGATACAGCCATTCTCTCCTGTACAAAACCTGCAAGATCTAGCAACAATTTTAAATTACAGATTGTTAGAGAACCATAAAATCACATACAATCATTGTATCAAGTCAAAAACAAAATTCAGGCACTTTTTAATACATTCTCAATACAGGTCCTTTCTTCTAACCAGGGAAGCTGACATGCAACATTTGATACTGAAGTTGCTGTTCCAGGACAACAGACTGGATGGACTAAGGGCATAAAAAGGGAAAAGTCACTAATAAAATATATCTTGAATACATCTTGAGTATATAAAGCAGCTTGAAAGCTCAGAAAGCCTCCCAGCATTGCCCACACCAGCTCTGCAGCCTGTGCCCACAGTGCCAAATGTAGAATTGCCATTTATGAGCACCCAAAAATGCCTGTCCCAAAGCAGAACAAGGGCTGGGAGCACAGGCAGCTCTAAACAGCTCCTGGACAACAGCACAGCACTCCTCATTCCTAACCAAACAGCTGAGTTCAGATGGCAGGGCTGGGGTTTGAGGGCCCTTCCAACCCAAACCATTCTGTGACTCCCCCCAGAATCAGTGACCAGAGTAGCCAATGCTCTCCACACAGGTACCTTAAAACAGCAAGGAAAGTTACTCAGGGGTTGGAATTGATTTGTGCACATACTCCTCCACAAAATTTTGTATGTAAATACAACACATTATTTATTTCTTTCAAAACTGTGTACAAAATACAGCATACATAACAAAGACATGAAATATTTACAGCTGTAATATTAGTTAAATGTTTGACCTTGCTTTATTGAGAAGAAAAGCTCATCAGCTACTGCTGAATTGCTGCTGAGGATGTTCAGGTTGTTTGCTGGACTCAGGCATCCCATATCTGATTGTCAGGAATCTCATTAATCTCATTTTCCCCTGGTTATTTTTTCAAATGGATACCTGACACATTTCTACACAAAGCAAGTCTTTTTACATAATCCTGGATATCCAGCCCTTCACAGTCCTTCAAAGAGCTCTGCACTTTCCTGCACAAAGGGTTTGCTTCTGGCACTGTATTGAATCAGTAAAGTATTGCCAGCCTCACACAAAACTGCAGATGCCAAGCTGAGAGTATCACAAACCAGGAGATCACAGCAAAAACCAAACCCTGCTTTCTGTGGACACTCATGTGAGCAAAGCAGATTAAACCTCAGCAGCCAAGGGCTGCCTCACCTTGGCACAACTCAGCACAGCAATCAGCATTAGCTCCAGCATTTTGCAGTGTGGTTTTGATTATTCTGGATTTACAGACAGACTGTGTTGAGCAGAATAACTGCAGTTAAATGCTGTGGTGTCTGTAGTCTTAATTCACTAGAATTCTAATCTAAATAAGAATTAAGACTAGTCTTAATTCTAATCTAAATTTCCCCAGCTGTTTCAATTCAGATGAAAGAAAGCCTGCAAGTAAATCTGAAATGCATTAATAATAATAATAATAATAATAATAATAATAATAATAATAATAATAATAATAATAATAATAATAGTAGAAGAAAACTTCAGAAACCACCTAGCCTACCTTCCTACTCCTGTATTTTTGTAAATCTCAAAGCTCTTGATCAAACTGATGTGGGAGGGGCATTTTTATTGGCACAAGGATAATCACCACAATAATTCTTTGCCCATTACCAGGCAAAGCGTGTACATAGAGGGATTAATTCACTAAAGCAGTTACTTCCCTTTGAAGTCAGAGAACTTTTTAATAGTGCTTTTCATCCTTGCTTGTTTCTTTGTCTAAGGCACTGCTTGTTTTACAAATCCCACTTGTTAAGTGTCACTTGCCCTGGTTTTGCTAGGAAATCCTCTGGGAGTCTCAGCCCGTAATGTTCTAAGCTCCACTCAGAGTGAATCATCAGTGAAAGGCAAGCTTTAAAAATGAGATTCCTCTAAGTCAAGCCAAAACCAGAAAACCAATCCTTCCCTCCCCAAAACACTTGAAACAGATTGCCAATTACAGCAATTAGGATGATTTTTCATATATTAAGCTTCCTGTCTCTTGATTATTAGTTAATTAGCTCTCCAGCACTGAAGAGGTTTCTGCTGTAAATAAAATGTCTAATTTTAGAGTAAACAGAGACAAATAAATAAAATACTTCCCAACCCCCCTGCCCTTTTTTGTCTCTAAAAAAAGGGGAAAACTGTGCTGGAGAACCACTAACTTCCAGGAGCAAGGATTTCTAGGCTGCAAATTAACAGTGCCTCCCTTTAAAGTTTGTAAAATGCATTGAATGTGGAAAGGCCACTGGGAGGTAGAATCACAGCACTCCCATTACCCAGCTTATATCTGTCCTTTTGCAGAACTACTAGAGCTTTTTTAACCCCATTTCAGAAAGATTTCAACTCAACCTTTTATGAAAGGAGAACTATAAATAGGCTCTTAGATTAAAACCCTTAACAGCTGAGAAGGCTGGAAAGGGAGGTGGATATTATCCACCTTTCAGGAGTACAAATTGGGGCTGCAAGGGCTTAATTACAAAGATATCCTTAAGAACACACTGAGGGCTGCTATAAAAATGACTCCAATTACAGCAGCTCCACAGACAGCACTCCACCTGGGAGAGAGGAAAGCATCAATTCCCTCTCTGTGCACCCCATGCTAATGCAGCAGCACACCCCACAAACTGGCTCTCCCAGGTGGATCAACAGAAATGCCAGGGATTTGGATTCCAGGTATTTGGGTTCCTTTGTTTTCACTCTGAAATCTCCAAGTGGAGATGAACTGCTGGCATGACTTCAGGGAGCTAAATCCAGTGCTTGGAAGGGTCTCAGGCAGAAAGAAGTTTGGATTTGAATGTGGAATTCATGATTTGACATAAATCACTCTCTCTCCTGAAATGGGGAACTCATGGTTTTCCCTATGATTTCACTGTGATAGTGTATTCTTATTTATGATGTAATCAATGCCTTCTGTAATTACAAATAAGTTTACAATTAGTGTTAAGGGAAATAATTTTTATATAGCATCAAGGAAGTCCTTATGTTTCAGTACTCCTGTGCTAAGAATTTTGCAATTGTGCTCAACTGGATATTTGAAGTTCCTTCATATATTGTACCTGAAATCAGAAGAAAACAAATTAGTAGACTCTAAACCCACAGTGAGTTTATGAAGAGAGATCAAAATATCATCCTAAAGTCCAGTGAGAACCTTTACAATTATGAAATGAAGCTTTTCTGTGCAAGTACTTGCACAGAATTGTACTTATATAATATTATAGACATTTATATTATATTATCTGTAACAATGAAAGCACTTTTCTGGCTGGCAACACATAATGCAAAGACATTTTCCTGAAAAGCAGTTCTTAAATAGCCAAAAAAAATGAAGAAGTTCCAAATGCTATTATAATAAAAGCCAAAGGGTAATATTGTTAAAAATATCAAACTGTTGTGTCCAAGGATTATCCTGATGAACAAGAAAGCCTTGAAAAGAAAACTCCCCATGGATTCAGATCTTAAAGCCAATGAAGGTATTTTTAATTCTTTTTTTTACAGATATATTCTTAATAGCATGAGAAACAGTGTTTGTGTCTGTATTTTGTTGGTATCTAATGAAATATTTTAACTAGCCTTGCATGTACATAAATTTATACCTAAAATTTTATATCTGAGCCTTTGAATTAGTGTTGATACAGTCTCAAGGAAAAAAATATCCTGAGAAAAAAATCCAGGCCTTCTTCCTAAAACTTTAATAGCACCAAAGCTACAAGAGATACTTGGTAAGAAAGTGGCACTCACCTATCTTGCAGTCACGGTAGTACTTTTCTATTGGGAAATTTTTGGTGAATCCAACACCTCCCATCCATTCAATGCATTTACTGGTTGTCAGTGTTGCAACCTGGGAAGAGAGTTTCAGCGTTACAGGATTTAACTTCGGACAGTAGCAATAAAACTTATACTTTGTACCTGATTAATAACAAAACAGGGAATAAAGCAGTGACTAGAACAGGAGGGAAGAAGGATGGGTATTTTGGTATTCAGCAAGCAATTTTAGGATTAAAACAACATAAACCAGAGGACATCAGGAGTTTCACTAATTGTTACAGCAATAGTTTCTATGCTGCTCTGTGCAAAAGACCAGCACTGGTATGCAAGACAGCAATTGCAAAGAGGGAAAAGTCATCCAGTTTTGAGTCATTTTAAGACACAGATGTGACCAGCAGAGCTGAAACGGTCACAAACGAACTCTTTACAGTGTCATTTCTCATGCCACAATAAAATTTCTGAGAAAATTAAGTCTTTCTTGATGAGTGAAAGTATTAATTCACTTTCCTCTTTTAGTGTTGTTGGTTGGTTTAAAAAATTTTATTTAGGGGCATGAGCAACTTATTCTTTGGTGACTTAATTTAGATTCTGTGCATGGACTGAGAAACACAGAATGGGTTGGGTTGGAGGGTGTTGGAGCCTTGGGGGGTAGGATGGTCAGAGATGAGAGATCTCTGAAGCCAGGTTGTGGAACTTGGGGTTTATTGCAAAGGGCCTGGCTGCAGGGGCCTTTTGGAACTTGGGGTCTATTGCAAAGGGCCTGGGTGCAGGGCCCTGCTTGGAGCTGCCAGCCACAGCTCAGAGCAGGCTTGAGAGAAGAGAGGGGTACAGAGGATGGGAGGGTAAGAGAGTAAGAGGGTAAAAAAGGTAAGAGAGCGAGGTTCCCGTTCCAATACAATAAATCTTCTTCTGTGTTGAATATTCCAATTCTCACTAACCAATCTATTACAACATACAAATCCTATAGCATTTACATACAGCCTATAAGAATCACTACATTACCATACTGTGTTCCATTTTAAACCCTAAAAACTCCTCTTTGGGCCCCTTCTGCCAGGCTGGCAGGGTCTGCTCTGACCCTTGGGCCTGTCTGCAAGCAGAGGGAATTGTTTGATCAAAAGGGGATTATAGTTTCTATATTCTCAAAATCTTTTGCCAGACAATCATATTTATAAGGCTTTCCTGTTTCATCTTCCCCAACAGGAGGGGATCTTAAAACTCATCTCATTCCAACCCCTCTGCCAAGGGCAGGACACCTTCCACTAGCCCAGGTTGCCCCAAGCCCCACCCAACTTGGCCCGGAACACCTCCAGGGACATGACAAAAGTACATGCAGAGCTTCCACAGCCAATATGAATTCCAGGTACACAGGGGGTAGCAGAAGGAGCTTTAGCAGCAGTGAGGGAGCTCAGGTACCTCAGCAGTGAAGTACTTGGCCATGCTGGCCTCCTTGATGGCCGGCCTGCCCGTCTCCGCCAGCCGTGCCGCGTTGTAGGTCAGCAGCCTGGCTGCCTCCAGCTGCGTGGCCACCTGGGCAATCTGGTGCTGCATCCCCTGCAGGAACAGCACAGCACTCACACAGAGCCACAGCCCCTGTGAGAACAGCACAGCACTCACACAGAGCCACAGACCCTGCAACAGCACTCACACAGAGTCACAGCCCCTGCAACAGCACTCACACAGAGCCACAGCCCCTGCAAGAACAGCCCAGCACTCACCCAGAGCCACAGACCCTGCAAGAACAGCCCAGCACTCACACAGAGCCACAGACCCTGCAAGAACAGCCCAGCACTCACACAGAGCCACAGACCCTGCAAGAACAGCCCAGCACTCACACAGAGCCACAGACCCTGCAAGAACAGCCCAGCACTCACACAGAGCCACAGCCCCTGTGAGAACAGCACTCACACAGAGCCACAGCCCCTGCAAGAACAGCCCAGCACTCACACAGAGCCACAGCCCCTGCAAGAACAGCACTCACACAGAGCCACAGCCCCTGCAAGAACAGCCCAGCACTCACACAGAGCCACAGCCCCTGCAAGAACAGCCCAGCACTCACACAGAGCCACAGCCCCTGCAAGAACAGCACTCACACAGAGCCACAGCCCCTGCAAGAACAGCACTCACACAGAACCACAGCCCCTCTGGAGCTGCCAGCAACAACCATCCTGCTCACCATGCAATGCACTCTAAAATAAAACCATCAGGTCCAGGTGGGAAGTAATTCTGTGACAGGGTCTCTGGTGTCAAGATGACCCCGAGGTGTTGGAAAGTCTCTTTTTCCCAGCCCCAAGATTGAAGAAGGAGTCAGGCTTCCTTGGCTCTGGTTTTCAAGGTTGTTTATTTTCTCTTATCTATAAAATTCTTTCTCTGACCTGCTGAGGTCTGTCTAGCAAGTTAGCCTGTGGCACACTGACCACCTCAGGGTGGTGTTATCTTTTTATACTAAGAACTATGTGTACTTTAGTTACAATAATTTTCCAATACCTACCACCTATGTTAGATAGTCTGTCTCTACTCTAAACCAATCCAAAAGTGCCACCATCACAGCAGAAGATGGAGGCTAAGAAGAAACAGGAGGAAGGACAGGACATGCCCAAATCCCTCCATCTTGCCTCCTGAGCCCCCATTCTAAAACCTCAAACTTCTACTTTTTCACCCAGTGATAAATTCACTGTCATTCTATTCAAACTCTTGTGGCTTGTAACTCTTTGCACAAAGTTGGTAATTGTCTCCATGGGTTAAAATCAAAGGCACAGGTGTTTTTGACTCTGTGCCAAGGTCTCTGAGCCCCCTGTCAGGGTCTCGAGTCCTCCAGGGCAGTCAGAGGAATTTCCTGGATTCCAACAATTCTGTGTTCCTTCTGTGTTTATTGACAGAGGATGGGAACACTCCTGGGCCACTGAAGTGTCTCAGGAACTGCAGTCCTATTTCCCCCTTTCCTGTTCTTGGATTTAGGAGTACTGGGGTTCTTTTTGCCTGACTGGACACAGGGTTACCTATTTAAACCCAGAAATATAAAGGTTCATTTTATCCCAATCTTAACATCCTCCTCAGGATTACAAAGGCATGAGGAAGACAGAACTGCATTTTTCATTCTCCAACTGTTCACTGAGACAAAACCAGGTCTGCTTCCCTAATGAGCTTAGCCAAGGAAGACTTGTAAACAAATATTTCTTAAATAAAAGTGGAAAACTAGCAAGGTGACAACTCCTTTCCTTGTCCCAGAGGCACAAGACAAGATTTAGAAGCAGCTTAAATGTACAGAGGACACGACTGAGGAGTGGATTCAAAGGGAAGGAGGTGATGGAGCTCACATCTGAATGGTATTACAGAAGAATGGGTTTATTTAAGAACACCCAAATATTATGATCATTGAAAATGAACATTTAGTAGTCTAAAACACAATGAAATCTTTCATCTTATTAGAACATTAACACCATTCCCTCAGATCTGCAGAAATATATAGGCAGGTCAAAATACCAAAATGATTTGGCAATTATAAATTCCATTTCCCATTCAAAAGACGTAGTTCCAATCATTTCCTAGGTATCTATGAGTGCTTCCTAAAATTTGCATAAATTATGAGTAGTGCTAATGTTCCTTCTCTTCAGCTGAGATGTAGGTTTCTTTTACCAAGAAAATTACCAGAGTAATTACAATTATGTATCTTCCTTATTAAACTATACATCATTTTTGCAACAAAGAGTCTTTTTCACCGTAAGAAACAGATATTATAATGAAAACTAAATGTCTTTGTACAACACAGGAAATCTAATAATTCAGTTTTCCTCATCTTTTTATCATTTCTAGTCTCCAGAAAAAGCCCTTCTACACCTCTTGTAACCTCTTGTAAGGGTATAAAAACTGGAGCACGTTCAGTATAGCGTGATACTAAAATCAGAAGGGAGTTCCATGTGTATTATTTTCAAAGAATGTCAATAAGTTATCAAGCAAAAGGAATATATCAATAATACTTTTAAGTTTTAAATTATTTGTGTGGCACTTGCAAAGTCACTGAATTGCTGAATTTTACATGGCAATCCAGAAATTTCTTTGAAAAATACTCAAATATTGAGGAGGAGAGACAAGACGTGAAGTGGAACATGAATTATGCAAATCATAATGCTAATTATACTGTTTATTATGCTCACAATTCTCTCTTGGAGGAAAGATCCCATTAACAATTACCTGGAAATCAAACACGCTCTTCCCAAACTGAACTCTCTCCTTTGTGTAGGGAACTGTACGGTCAAAACACCCCTGGGCCAGTCCTAACATCTGTAAGGAAAAATAAGGATATGGTCAAAAAAAATTGATTCATTGAGTGATGAATCAATGGACATGATCATTATTGGTTCATCTTGTGGTCAGGCAGGTTGATATCCAGGAGAAAAGTTGTTTTCTTCCTACCTAGATATTGCTAAAGCTTGTATAGAGAATCCTAGGAGCCAGAATTTTACAGTTATCACACAAACTGAGGTGAGTTATAAAAAATAAAAGTTTGAGGAACAAACCTTTTACATGCCCATTTTTTACCATAGGCAAGTATTTGTGAAAACACTACCACTCATTTTTTGAACAAAACTTATGGGTCAACTGTAATTGCAAAAATATTAAGTGTTTTTTTGGAAAATTCATAATTGCATAAGAAAATGACTGTAAACTGAAGATCTATAGATTTACATTACCCTATTAAAGGAAAAATAATCTGAATTATTAATCAAAACTATTTTCATAAGCAGAATAATTTCTCATTTTCTAGAGGACACCAGACTGAATTGGCAGAATTAGCAATTTATTTCAGAAGTTAGAAACTTAGTGGCGTGAAGAGAACATTTCTTGCACTATCTCCCAACTCTGCAGAACAATTGTAAAAGAATTTCGATCAATTTTGTCTTTTCACAAAGGCAGAAGCAGTAAAGTGTCACATCAGACAGCTTAGAAAAACTACCTTTAATGATGTACAACAGAACAAAAAAAAGATCCATAGGAAAAAAGTAAAAGAAAACACTGCAGTCTGCTGCTAATCAGCCCCATTATCAGATTTGTCATCTCCTTCTATAAATTATAAGAACAAAGTACATCAACTTCAGCACCTGTAATAATATTGCAGCTGCCTTGCACTAAAACCATCTGAAACTGTTTTCAAAGCCACAATTACCTTTTATAAGATCTTCATTATCTTTTTAAACTATTACTACTGCAAAACTAAACTCAATACCACAGGGCTTTAGAGCTGCTGTTCTTGTCAAGTCCATTTCTCTTAATTTGAAGGTGCCAAGAAGGCAGTAATTAAGATGTAACAACTACCTGACCTTAACTTTTAATTAAGGTGTAACTTGGAGTAATTAAGAGTAAAATCCAGACCATGTATTTTAGTGCCAGAGCCTTTATATTATTTATATCTCTGGGAACAATGAGGCCCACAGCCCTTTTTAAATGCCATATCAGACAAAGTTTAATCAGAGGTAATCTTTAGAAATGATGGAAAAACCAGCCCAATTATCAGCATAGAGTATTGCCATGTGGAAAATCTCAATTTCACAAAGATGATTTCTTCTGGTCTGTCTGCAAACCAGGGTTAAAGTAAAGGAGATTGGTAGTACAGAAATATTGCACAACAAAGTATAAACAAAGAAAAGATTACTTTCAAAAGTAAATTAAAAATATAAAAACTTATCACAAGTAATTTTATTCTGGGGCTGAACCTGATTTCCACTGAGATCAGCAGCATTCTGAAATCCAAACTGACTTTACAGCAAAACACAACATTTTGAAATAACTACAATGTCAGTAAATATTTTCCCTAAGATGCCATACAGGCAATTTTCAAACACAACAATGAACTGGAACAGCTCTGCTAGAGAAAATCATTTATTTTAAAAATAAGTTGACTTTTCAAAACAAGTTGGGAAAATAACAGTTAGCACTAGGTTACATTTGCCAGCCCCATATAATCTCAGCTGGAAGCACTAAGTTATACATTCACAGTTTCCAAAGTTAGTTTTCTTTGTAAAATAAAGTTTCATAGTGGAAGACAAGAACGTGGACATAACTCAGTAGTAATAAGTTAACGACCAAAGAGAAGCTAATTGCCATTTAATGTTTTTTTTAATAAGTCTATTGCTTATGTCACCACAGGAGGATTTTCCCACTGGCAGCTGTTCCCATCTTTGCTGTAACTTTGCTACGGGAACAGTGACATCTAGTGGCAATCGAGCTTTTAATAAAGTATTTTCCAAACAGCTTTAAATATTCCACAAATTTCAGTCCAGACTCCAATGATATGCTGGCTGTGCTCAGTAACAAATCACCCACCTGTGCAGCAATCCCTATCCTGCCAGTATTGAGCATTCCAATGGCATACTTATAGCCTTGTCCAACTTGTCCCAGAATATTGCTCTCAGGAACCTAAAAAATAAAACCACCCAATTATTCCTGTTCTATTCTGCTTTGCAACTACTAAAAGGGTTCACAAGTTTTAGCAATTGTTCCTCATAAGTCAAGGCATAAAACATAAACCACAGTTTGATTCCTAGGATACCTGATTAGAGCATTCCCAGATTCACATGGCTATAAACTGATGACTGAGAAAAAACTACATCAAAATTTAGGAAATCCAACTCCTCTCTAGACTTCTGTGGAAGGAAGATGCTAAAATATGCCCAACAATCAGTGTATCTAAGGGAAAAAAATAGGGAATTTAATTCAAATTCTTTCCTTATTTGTGGCCAGGTTCCAGCTGTACACAAGTGATGCTTCAAGAGCTGAACCTGCAATACCTTCACATTGTCCAAGGTGACAGGGCAGGTGGAACACGCTCTGATCCCCAGCTTGTCCTCCTTCTTCCCCACATGAAGCCCCTCAGTGTTGCGATCCACTACGAAGCAGGTGATTCCTCTGTAGCCCTGGGGGAATGAAAAATAATCCAGAACTGGTTTTCATACCAATATCCCTCAAAATCTACTACCTGCACCCAGACTGGGCACAAACCTGATACTAGCATATTCAGCTCTGTAATTTTTCACTGGACATGTTTTACTATAAAATACTTTTTAGCTTTCCATTTTGCCTTTTAACAACAGGAAGCTGTCAGCCAAGTCAGAAAGGTTGGAAAAATGTAAGACTGAGTCCTGTTACTCAGAACAGCACCAGTGCTGGGCTCTTCATCTAAGCAACCATGATCCTGACATTTTTATTTTCCCTGGCTGGAGGAATTTATTAAATTGCTTACCAAGTTCTCAAGTTTTGTTGGGAAATATTTTTAAAGGTTTTCAGTCAACTAGGAAAAGGTGCCCAGAGTATTAACCTCTAACATCAGATTATCAGTATAAAATCCACAGTTTCATATATCAGCAGCTGTCACTGAAATGCAAGAATTCTGTAGCAACTTACTAAGGATGGGTCTGTATTTGCCATGACAAAGAAAACTCCTGCATCTTCTGCCAAGCTAATCCACATCTTTGAGCCATTGATAATGTAGTAGTCTCCCTTCTTTTCAGCTCGAGTCTTCAAGGAAAAAGCATCACTGCCAGACCCAGCCTCTGACAGACAGAAACTCCCTAACTGCCAAGGGAAGGGGAAAAGCCAGTTTAATTTCCACAAATATAAATAAATCCTATAAGGAAAATACTTATAAGCCAGTTCAAGTCTCTTAAATTCAAACATTTTAACCTATTGCATTAAAGTAACTGAGTTTCAGCTATGAAGATTAAGAATAGAAACATTGTGTAATTACACATCTCTCAAAGTCAACTGCTTTACAGTTCTTTTCCACAGTAAATTAAATTTTAATGAAACTAATAAGTGCCTTTCCACTTTTACCTCTCAGCTACTGATGACAGGATGTATCTATATCACCACAGATCTCAGCTCTAACCAGTGTTTCAAAGTTCACACACATTTTCCAGAGCTGCAGACACACATTAGCCACTGAAAAAAAAAATCCCCACTAACATTACTAAACAATAATATAATTTCAATAGTTAAGTCAAGTAAGACTTTGACTCACTGTATCTTTGGACACCCTGGGCAGGTAAGTTCTCTTCTGTTCTTCTGTTCCATAGGTGGTAAACAACTTATTTGTTAGAGTGTTTTGGAGTTCACACACAAGAGCCACAGCTGGATCAACTTTGGCCAATTCTTCCACTGCCAATATGATGGAAAAAAATGAAGCTCCAGTTCCTCCATATTCTTCCCCAAGCTCAATACTCATCAGCTGAAATGGAAAAGGTGCAAATGTATGAATTTGTTGATGCTGGTAGCTGGAAAGGCTAAAATTGAATCAAGGAATAAATACCAAGATTTTGGCAATGTAAGTCCTCATGGCTGCCCAGTAAGGCACAGAGGAATATTGGTTCTCTTCTCCATCAACACTTGGAGTCATGGCCTTTCCAGCATCCAATTAAAAAAAATTGAGGGAGGGAAGACAAGGAACTAAAAGATAAGGTGAAGTATGTGGTATGGGGAAGATGGAAAAAGAATTACAGTAAAAGATGGAGAGTGATAATGCTGTAAAGAAAGCTGTCATGTGATTGACAACTCCAAAATTTTTAATGATTCATCAGTTCATTGGAATTATATCCCTCAATCTTTTAATCTATAAATCTGAAGAAGGCACAGTTAGATACATAAAATGCTGTTACTTTCCAAATAAAAGATTAGGTAAAGGTGTGCAGACCCCTTGCTCAAACAATCCCTGTATGATGGAATCTTCCATTTTCGCATTCTCATCCATTTTTTGCACGAATGGTGCAACTCGTTCCTGGGCAAATTTGGTCACTGCAATGAAGATAAGAGAGAAAACATGCAAATATTCCATAAATAAATAAATTAACAGTCTCCTTGGGGATCAATACAACAGGAATGTGGCACTTCTGACAGGTTATGCATGTCAGAAGAAAAAGTACCCCAAGCAACATCAGGCATAAAACACAACTCCCCCAAAACATCCCAACATTTGACTAGAAATAAATAATGAAAATGCAATTTTAAGCTAAAATATCCCTTCTACTTGAAACATTTCTGAATTTTAACTGCAGAGATGATAGCTACCCATGTCTTTCAGCATGGCCTCCTCTTCAGTGAATGTTTGAAGTGGAGCACAGGCAACTCCATCACTGGCTACATTTGGCTTGAGTTCTGATTTGGAGGATCTAAAAGCACAGGGAGAAACCCTCCAAGGAGCCAGGTGTGCTGGCATGTGTCTTCTCAGCTGCTGGCAACAAGCACAGAACATGCAAACAGTTAGATCTGTATGCAGACAACCATATATAACTTTACCCAGTGCTTTTATTCAGTAAATTATGAGGAAATATAACGTACATCTAATATTCAGCTTGAAAGCTTTTGAGAGAATATAACCTTCCCCTCCCCTGTGTCCCTAAAGAAAATATCCTTTAATTACTTTTCTTTTAATATGAAACATTTTTCTTTCTGGAAATTTACTATCACAAGGTTATTCTACAAAGTATTCACAAGCATTTTTAAGTCAATTTTAGTGTCTACAGCAAATAAACCCTGCTGGTAGTATTTATTTTGACAGATGATTTTGCAAGTCTACTGCAATATTCAGAGTAGTGAGTGTGTATTTCAATAGAATTAATACTTTCACTAACAAGAATGATAAGAGTAAATAAAAAATACACATGCAATGACTTGAGCTTTCTCCCTGCTTTTCTAGGGACCAGCAATTCTTGTTTCTAAAGCAATCTGACAGCCCCTCATGTGGATTATTGGCATTTTGCTGTGAAAGGGCCTAACTTTTAACTGCACTGTGGATTTCTGTATTCAGACTAAATTCTTATCCATCACTTAATGATTTTCAGAATGAGCACACATTTTGTAGACAAAGCCCTGGCATTTGAATGCTCCTGTACAGTTAATTTCCACACAGTTAAAATCCCACAGGCAGTATGCTGATAGTGTAACTAATAATTAATGTGTCTTATTTGGTTGATTTATTTTAAAAGCATGGGAAGGAACTAAAACAAAGTGATTCATGCTTATGTTCCCCATCTGTCCACAATATATAACAATGATTTCAAGAAGCATTGGCTCTCCAATCAAAAGAGCAGAGGCTGAGCATTTTACTGTGGGGAATAGTATTAATATGTAGCAAAAGTCACAGAAATGAACAGAACAGGGGCTTTTGGGAGGAAGCTACACACAGTGATTATCAGGACATAGATAATGTGACAGCTTTGTCCCTCAGAGACCTAAAAACTTTTGTATTCAAAGACTCAATTACCTCACAGCTGAATTTAGAAAGGCAATTTTGGTATGAAGGCCAATCTGCTTTCCAAACACAGAATAATTCCTTAGGATTTTAAAGGAATTTGGCATAAAGGATCTGGCTCAAAAAATAATGGGCCAGCAGTACCTAAAACATATTCCCGAAAAGCAGCACAGTTTGTCTGGGTCCCAAAAATGACAGAACAATGGTTCTGTTCTGCTCCCCCAGCTCCCCAAAGCCACTCTGGGGCTGATCTCTGCTCCAGATTTCTGGCACTTCTGCCTTGTCCAAAGTGTGGAGACACAAATGTCCCACCAGGACAAGTGCTGACAGAAACCCCCAGGAGAGACACAGCTGGGCCATGGAGGATATAAAACCACATCTGCCAACACAGGTTTTTGGGTGATTGTGACCCCCAGAGTGAGGAACAGACTGGCTGTGCCCCGAGCAGGCGCCTGCTCAGCTCACAGAGCACAGGGCAAGCCCACAATGCACACTGTGGCAGCAGCATTCCTCCAAAACCAGCAGAAATCTGGGGGTCAGGAAGTAAAAAAATCCTTTGATCCTTCTAATAATTCCTCCTCTTTCATGTTGGCTTTCAACACTTGTCATCTTCCTGGCTGAAGAACTGATGGAAAACACATCCATGAACTCTTGTGGAGACAAGGAGCAAAAGTCTGCTGTGATAAGGAAATTCTGATTTTGGCACAAACAGCTGTGCATAAAATAAAACCCAACAACAACAAACAGTCATAGGTGGTAATAGAGAAAATAAATATTGCTGTGAGAATTCAGTGTTTATTCACATTCAATACCCCTGGTGACATAAAACAACCACTGGTGAGTAGGGCTAAATTATGAATACATTTGGATGGTCAGCAGTAGCTGCAACACTTTCAAATGATGATGGAGTTACTGTGGGTCTTCACAAAATAAAGAAAACATTGTTTTAATAGAGATGAAACCCCATGTTCTGGGAGCAGTCAGGCAGGAATGGATTATTTGCAGAACATGCAGCTATGCTGGGGTCACCTGACACCCAGGTGTGCAAACATTCACCTGTGCAAGTCTGTCCTTGCCAGGGCTGAGAAGGAAAAACCTGAGCATACACATGGACACTTGTATTTAACACTGGGCTGCTTCCTGAGCACTGACAGGGCTGCAAACCACACACAAACCTCCTGCTCCTTCCACTCCTTCATTCCCAAGTACAAAGAAAAGAGTGTTTTCCTCCATGGTGGCACAAATAAGGTTAATTAACAAATAAAGTTAATCACTGGGAAGGTGAATCACCTTCCACTACCCCTGAGTGCTCCAAGCCCTCTCCAAGTTGGTTCAGGCATTTATCAACCATGCTTTGGTCAGAACTTGTTTGAGACACTTTGCTCCTTTGCAGGAGCAAAGGAATATTCCTAAAATTCCTAAAAAGGTCACCTTGAACAGTTTTAAAACCAATGGGATGCATCCAAGAGATGGGATTAATGCTGGCAGCTCCCATACAAAGAGCAGCAACTCACAGCTGCCCCAGAGGAATAACAGCCCTGTGTGGAAATTATGTTTTAGTTCAACATTTAGATTTAAAAACTAAATAAACAATCAAGTCACTACATTATTGTGCACCTTTCTTTTCTTACAGGCTATGTAGTACCACTAATTTCAGGCAGTTATTTAAAGAGCACGTGCATTGCTTAAATCCTTGGCTGCTGCTTCCCTGCCTTTTTTCCTGCTTTTCTTCTGTAGGTGGTGATTTATGCTGCTACAGGATTCAGACTGCCTCCCCTACTAAACACAGCCTTTTGAGAACTGGTTGCTGATAACATTGATTTTTCTGTTTATCTCAATTCTTACCTCCACCTCAGCTCTTTAAAAAGATCAGTTGCCCTGGTTTCCTTGTTTGTTTTACAATCTGAAACAATATTTTAATGCTGGACCTGGCAGCATCATTAAGATATAAACAGAAATACCCCCAAAGCAATGTTTTCCTCAGCTCATTTTGCTTGCCTTGGTGACTTCCACTCCTGAGTCTATCCCAGCTGGTTTCCACACAGATCCTATTTCCCAGCAGAGAAGCTCCCCAATGGGAATCTTGCATTTGTTTTTAGGGTTGGTTTTCTTTATTTCAGTTTATTTCTAGAGGCACAACACCCCCAGGAGCTGCAGGAGAAGGTCTCACCGTGCAGAGCCAAGGCACACATGGCAAAACCCCGGGGTCTCTGCATGTCTTGGTCACAGCTCCAGTGCCTCAGGTGCGTTTAGCAAAACCAAGAATATTCCGAATTGGAAGGGACCCACAGCATCACCCAGTGCAGCTCCCGGCCCTGCACACACACCCCACAATTCGCACCCTGGGCATCTCTGGAGCGGTGCCAAGGCTGCTGGAGCTCTCGGGGCCATTCCCCGGCAGTGCCAGCACCCTCCGGGAGAGGTTTTGCTGCTCTATAACTAAAGGAGCCCCCAGAGCGCCTCCGCTGCCAGGCCGGTGCTGCCACAACCATTACACAAGACTTACAGAACTTTTCCTAGCGCCAAACCCAACCCCGCCGCCCCACACACAAACCCACAGGGCAGAAGGAGAGAAGGACGCTCCCCACCACCCTCACGCCTCGCAGAGCTGCCCCTGCACCCCGACATGCCCAGCCCCGGCCAGAGACCCGCACCCAGCAGCAGCGGCGGGCTGGGGAAGTGCTGCAGCCCAGCAGGACGCGGTGCCGCTTTCCGCGGTGCCGCTTTCCGCGGTGCCGCTTTCCGCGGTGCCGCTTTCCGCGGTGCCGCTTTCCGCGGTGCCGCTTTCCGCGGTGCCGCTTTCCGCGGTGCCGCTTTCCGCGGTGCCGCTTTCCGCGGTGCCGCTTTCCCTTCTCCCCTCATGGCTGTCCCACCCTGAGGCATCACCTTGGCGCAGCCCCTCAGCCAAGCTCCCGCCGCCGCCGCCATTTTGGCGCCCACCCCGTGACGTCAGGGCCACCGCCCCCCTGACGTCAGAACCAACGCCCCCCCTCCGCTCCCGCCGGCGCGCGCGGGTCTCGCGAGACTGCGGTGGGCGGGGCCGGGCCGGGCCGGGCCGGGCCGGGGGGAGGCACAACAAACATGGCGGCGGCGGGAGGCGGGAGCGGCGCGGGGCGGCGGCGGTGAGTGCTGCCTGTCCTCCCCTTCCCGCTTCTTTCCTGCCCTTCCCTCTCTTTCCCGCTCCCTTTTCCCCCCTCCTTCTCCTTCCGGGGCCTCCCTGTGCCGTGATGGAGCCGGGCCGGGGGCAGCGCTTGGGGAGGGCCGCGCTGCCCCGCCGGGAGCGGGGCCGGGTCAGCGGCGCAGCCCCGAGGCTTCTGCCTTGGTGTGGGGCTGAGGGACACGGAAATGAGAGGGATCACAGAAATTACAGAATGGCAGAAATCACAGAGTTACTGAAATCGCAGGGTCGCTGTAATCGCAGAATCGGAGTGGGTGAGGTTGGAAGGAATCGATCCGGGGCCACCTCCCTGCTCAGGCGGGGCCATCCCCGAGCACACGCACAGGTTCTGGGGTATCTACACTGAGGGAGACTCCGCACCCTCTCTGGGCAGTCTATTCCAGCGCTGTCACCTCACAGTAAAGAAGTTTTTCCTCGTTGAGATGGAACTTGCTGTACATCAGTCCCTGCCCGTGGCTCTGGTGCCGCTGCTGGCTCCCGGAGCAGAACCTGGGCCCTGCTGGGGCACCCGGGGCCAGCCAGGGACACGCGGGGCCAGCCAGGGCTGAGCGCCCTCCCAGCTGCGCCTCCTCTCCAGGCTGAGCAGCCTCAGCTCCCTCAGCCTTTCCCGAGCACGGAGATGCTCCAGTCCCTTCAGCATCTTTGCTGCCCTTCCCTGGATGCTCTCCAGAAGCTCCGTCTCTCTTGTCCCGAGGAGCCCGGAGCGGGACACGCGGGTTTCTGGGAGGTTTCCCGTGCCCGTGTCCCTCCCCACTCTCGCTCGGGCTGGAGGAAGAGGAGCGGGATCGAGCGGGGGCGTTCGGGGTTGGGCACAGGTCACGGTGGCCACCGACGCTGTGTTTCACTCCCCTCCCCACGGTCAAACTCCTTCAGGAGGAGCGGGAAGGGCTTGGATGGAGTTTGGAATCCTTCCTGCTTTCATTTATTTGCTATGGAAAAGATGGAAGAGAGAACACTCCCCCTTTCTTCCCCGGGGTTCCTTAGAAGAAGGTGGGGTGCATACATATGCTCACAGTAAATTTATGTTCTTACTGCATAGGTGTCCTCATGGCTACTTTATACCCTTATAATTACTGCAGGATTAGTTCTGACTGTGTGTGTGAAACTGCTGGGTGTACTCTATGAACTGCTTTCTTTAGCAGCATTATTTAGGCAGAATATTTCATCCTGGCTGTTCTTAGACAGCAAACTTAGCTCACCTCAGTGCTGTGACCCTTGTTCAGTCCAGCAGTTGTGCCTGGGTAGAAGATGAGAAACCAGTGCTCTGCTCCTGGTAGTGCGGAGCTGGAGGAGGTGTGGTTGTGTCAGCAGAGCTCGGGTAACACCTGGTGTGATCAGCCCATCCCTGGTGTGTGAAACGCGAGCTGGGCTGCTCAGTTTCTGGTAATTAGAATTGCATTTTCTGCTTTGCAGGGGTGACACAGCAAGGATCAGATGTGTGTCATTCTCCCCTGAGAAGGAGAGCTGCTGGCTGTGTAGCTCTAAAAGATGCCACATAAAATGACAGAAGTGTTTGAGCACACAGATGGGAACTTTGGGTCATGTTCAAATTGTGGTGACTTCCCTACACTGGTGTAAAGAAAAGGATGAGTGTTCTCAGGATAAATCAATGAGGTAGAGAAAGGAAGTCTTATGCAGTTGATCCCTAACCTGATTATGGAATTTTATGTAATTTTCTTTCAAAATTAAATGTTTTTTAAAAGCAATCAGTGCAATCAAGTAAAGCTGAGAGAACCAGGGTTGTTCAGGGTTGTTGGAGTAGAGAAGGCTTTGAGGTGACCTAATTGTGGCCTTTCAGTACATGAAGGGACACAAAAGAAAGATGGAGAGAGACTATTTACAAGAGCCTGTGTTGGGGTGTGAAGCAATATCCTGTTTCACCTTTCCCAGTCCCTCAGGTGTGCCAACCTCTCCCTTCCCCTCCCCCTTGCCCCCTTGCTAAGTGCTGTCCGTCAGTCTTAACATTCCAGCGAGGCCATCGTCTGGTTGGTGACGTTCAAAAGATGCCCCTCAGCCCTTGGGTCATTGGCCAGTCTGGGTGTCATTGTCCCCTGAGACTGCCCCCCTCCCACCTGGTTGGTGGCTCCCTACCCCTTCCCTCCCCCTTTCCCCAAGCTTAAAAAGACTCAGGACCATGCAGTTGGGATTCTCTTGGAGCTGTTACAAGATTCAGAGATCTGTGACCCTGGAATAAAACTCTGGATTAAACCCTATGGCAGAATCCACCTCCTTTTCCTCTTCACCTCACCTAAAGCCTTTCCACCAGAGATGAACCTGAGTTCCTGCTTGCCTGGCCTTATTCCAAGTGCCAGCTGCAGCATCCAGCCAGCCACAGGTGTCTGTGAGGTGAAAATACCACAGCTGCCACCTTTGGTCAAGCAGCAAGGGCTGGATGGGCCCAGGCAGGTTCCACCTGCCAATATGGGGATCATATTCCAATAAACCTGGAGGGACAGGACAAGGGGAAATGGCTTTAAACTGACAGAGAGCAGAGTTAGATGGGTATGGATATTGGGAAGAATGGGTGTGGATACTGGGAGGAATTTCCTGTGAGGGTGGGCAGGCCCTGGCACAGGGGCCCAGAGCAGCTGTGGCTGCCCCTGGATCCCTGGCAGTGCCCAAGGCCAGGCTGGACACTGGGGCTGGGAGCACCTGGGACAGTGGGAGGTGTCCCTGCCATGGCAGGGGTGGCACTGGGTGGGATTTAAAGTCCCTTCCAACCCAAACCATCCTGTGATTCTCTGAAACAAGTTTTAGTGCCTTACCCAAAGGCACACACAGATCTTCTCTGATAACACAAACCTTTGATGTTGTTTTGAATGGTTTAATTTTAAATTATTATTTTGTATTATAATTAATGGAAAGTTGGCCTGGTCAGGACTCTGTGTTACACTGTCCTGTTTTTCTCCTCATATCTTCAATATTAGAGATATCTTTAATATTACAATTCATATCCTGATGTCTTTGTTTTATTGCAGGAGACACCAACAAATGGAACACAAATTAACTTAAGCCTACAGGAGGCTGGTGACACCTGGAAGAGGGTAGGTAGGTAGATACATAAAGATGTGTTCTGAACTAACTTAATGATGATAATTAATGCTGGGAATTGAGCACACTCAGGTAAGATGTGAAAGAACATCCTCATCTGGATGCCAAAAATCAACAAATAGCTGTAAGTAGCTTTGGATATAAGATATCCAAATATTAAGATACTTAAATGTGGTCTGGAACTCTGAACTTGAGTTCCTGTAGGTCACCTGGAGTACCTATTAAAAATAGGGAATATTCTTATTGAAATAGTAGCATTGTAAATTATTTTTGATTATAATCTGCAGAAATAATGTGACAGATTTGTTGTTCTCCTTCCAAATGTATCCCAAGCTCTCTCTTCCCAAAGTCATTGTGAATTGGGACTTTATAGAGGCTTGTTATTAAGACTCCCCAAAACAAGCATGACCACTGATTTCTGGGGAATATTTTAATAATTTCAGTGCAAAATGATGGACTGGATTAAGATTTTTACTCAGGATAGGAAAGTCAAATTTTGGGAGAACTGGGAAACAGTGCTTTGTCTAAGGCTTCTTTCCAGCTTTGCTAATCACCAACATTCAGTTGTTTCCCAACATTGCAGCTCCCACAATTGACTGACCCAAATCTGGGGTTTTTTGGAGCCAGGTGTTTATTGGAAAACAGAAATGAGTCAGAAGTGTCCTTCAGGTGACATCCAGGAACCAGAGGATGCAGTCTTTGAAAAACTTTCACTGGAAGTGTGATCATTTTAATAAAATTTAGAGCAGCAGAGCATTAGATTCCCATCTTTCAAACACAAAAACTAAACATTTTTCAGGTTTCTTTCTTATAACTCATGGGAGTTGGGAAGAGTAATGGACTCACATTTCCTTTTTATTCCTTCTAGGAAAAGTGGAGAAGCTGTGTTCAGTGCTTTTTATCTGACGTGTTGAGGTACATTTTGGAGCATGTTTGCTACTTAGCAGGGAACTAAAATTCAGGTATGATCCATTTTTTTATTTTTAAAAATGCAGGTTGATTTTTATTACTATGTGGTGTTTTTTTTTGTTTTAAAATTTTATTTACTATGTTATTATTATGTCATTTACCTGTTGCTGAAAGCGATTTCCCCATAAATTATATTTGGTGATCTTTAATGAGTTAAAAATTCAAAAAGTGATCTTTAATGAGTTAAAAATTCAAAATTCAATATTCTTATGGTTGCAGATTTGCTCATTGACTCAGTGTAGTGGGTCTAATGCTGGCCAAATGCATGCACTAAAAGTTATTTATTTACTCATTTCCTGCTGTGAGATATGGATTAGGAGGGGGAGGGCAAACCAGGCTCAAAACTGTAAATGGTATAAAGAAAACTTTATTAGCAGAATTAAAGTAAAAAATTATAAAATCAGAACAAACCTTCAAAATGCTTCTCCCCCCACACCCTCTTTTCTTTCCCACAGACAACATAAAGAGACAAAACCTGGAACTTTCAGTCAGTTTGCCACCTCTAAAATAATCTTTTTTCAGTCCACCTAGGGAAGTGGAGTCTCTCTTGCCATGCCATGGAGACTTCTCCACAAGAAGCAGTTCTCTTGTGGCTTCAGCATCACAGCAAATCAGCAGCCAGGAAAGGAAAATCTGTTTGCAGTGTGAAAGTCCCTCCCATGAGTTACAGTTTTCCCAAAGCTGCTTTCATGGGCCATGTTAACTTATGGGGCACTATTTTATGGATGAGCTGTTCTAGCATAAAACCAAAAATTCTCTTCTTTTATCTCTGGGAGCAGAGATTTTTCTTCTTCTATCCCTGGGGCAAAGTTTCTCATCTCTCTCTTCTTGTTGGATTACAGCTTTTCAGCCTGCACGTGCTCCAGCACGAGTGTCCTTCTCTCAGAGGGTGCATCCCCCCATGCACTTCATGAGCTACAAGGAAAAAACAAAGTCTGATAGATCAAAAGTGGATCTTTACCATAGCCTCACAAAAGAATTTTAGCCCAAGTCTAAGGCATCTCCTCAATACCCTCCCATCTGGAATTTGACTCCTTCTTTACTGCCCTCAGTGTCCATGTTGTTTTCTCTACGTGTCTTCACCCTTTTCCTTTTCCTGACTGAGGAGAGAATTGGTATGTTCATGTGTAGGGACAGTCCTGGCAGCATGGTCTGGTGGTGGCCAGGAAAATCCCAGCCCAGCAGTGAGCCAGGCCTGGCCATGAGAGCCCAGCCCAGCCAGGCCTGGCCTGGCCCTGAGTGTAGCCATGATATTTTCTGAAAAATCCCTTTGCCAGGATTTTTCTCCTGAGAAGCTGAGAGGCCTCAGGAACAAAATGTAAACATTTATTATCTGCTGCTGTGGAATGCAACAGGTGCATCTGGGATTGGTCACATGTGGTTGTTTCTAATTAATGGCCAATCACAGTCAGCTGGCTCAGACTCTCTGGTCAGTCACAAGATTTTATTATCATTCCTTTCTATTCCTATCAAGGCTTCTGATGAAATCCTTTCTTCTATTTTTTTTGTATAGTTTTAGTATATAATTTTCTTTTAATATAATATATATAATAAAATAATAAATCAGCCTTCTGAAACATGGAGTCAAGATTCTCATCTCTTCCCTCATCCTGGGACCCCTGAACACCACCACAGATGAGAGCCCAGCCCAGCCAGGCCTGACCCAGCTGTGTGAGCCCAGCCCAGCCCGGCCTGGCCTAACCCAGCCACATGAGCCCAGCCTGGCCCAGCCAGTGACCTCTTCAGAGGCCATAAGCCAAGAATCCTCATGGCCCAGCCTATCCTTAAATGCATTTTCATAGAGGCGTATTCAGCTCTTCTAAGTGCTTTAAACTGGTGTCACTCTTCCAAACTAGCCTGCTGATTGGCTAACCAGATGTCAATCTTCAAATCTAGCCAGCTGATTGGCTCTTCAAACTAGGCAGTTGGCTAGTGTGGCTAGTTGAAACTCATTGGCTCTGCCAGGTCCTCACAGGGAACCACCCCCTCAACTGGAAACCAGACTTTAACCACTCAAACTGTGTGATAAAAGTAATTCTTCACTTCAAATCCAACCCAAAACCTGAACCTGTTAGTATGAATGCATTCCAAACTCAATGACACTTGTGTTCTGAAAACATTTTCCCTTCTAGGCACAAGAGGTTGTAAATGAAAGAGTCAATATGGGGGAAAAGAAGGCAGAACCGTTGGATTTTGTGAAAGATTTTCAGGAATATCTGACCCAGCAGACTCATCATGTCAATATGATTTCTGGATCAGTTACTGGTGACAAGGAAGTAGAGACTCTCCAGGGAGGTGAGCTGTACCATAATTTTTTTTTCCAGTACCATAAATTTGATGTTTTTTGAGAGTGACTTCAGTGTTCCCAGTCCAGGTAATACTGCTGTATGGAAGCATTGCTGGTTGTCATTTTGTGTCACATAGGATGTGTATGTACCTTTGTTTTGATCAGGGCATGTTTTTATAATTCTCTATATTTAAAAACCAAGGGCTGAGAGAAGCAAAAGCTCTTTGGCATTTGCTCACAGTGTGACAGATGGTGTCCCACAGATTGTTCATTAAAATCTGTGTTGCATTGTTCACAGCTGGGACAGAAGGTGATCAGAATGGACTGGATCATCCTTCTGTTGAAGTTTCACTGGATGAAAACTCAGGAATGTTGGTGGATGGCTTTGAAAGGACTTTTGATGGGAAGTTAAAGTGTCGATACTGTAACTATGCCAGCAAAGGAACAGCACGGCTCATCGAGCACATCAGGATTCACACAGGTATGGGATCTTCTCTCTGCCTGCCTGGGAGGCCTTGGGCATTTCCTCAGCATTGGGATTTCCATGTCAGCAGTTGGCAAATTCATCATGCTCATCAGTCACATGACAGGGATTTAAAAATTGAGCTGGCACTTGAGATAGGAAGAGTAAGATGATTTTGGATTTCTGCTCCTGAACACACATCTGATCCTTTAGGCACTTCTGACATTGCAGGCCTGGATCTGTAACTCCTAGATCAGTCTACCAAGGGAAAATCAGAATTCCTAAAGTGCTGCCTTACAAAAGTGTTGGCTGGCCTGTTATTCTTTTACTCATGTTAACTTTTTAAAAAATCCTCAGAAAACTTTGTATCTATAAATTTCATTTGATAGAAGAACAAAGTTCTGCATGTGCACAGGAGATGATGGTCTCCCTGATCATCATCCCATGTCCCATCTGGAAGAGCATTCTTAACAATAACTGGGTATTGGTGGGTTTTTATAGTCTATTTTTGTCAAGGTGTGCCATTTACCTATTTAAACTGTGCAAATCCCTGCTGGCATTTATTATTATAAGTAACTATATGGGAGTAAAGTTTAGTATGAAAGCTTCAGTGTAAATTGAAGGGCCCAAAAAATATATTTTAGTTTTTCTGTGCTGATGAGAAAAGTGACAAATGTATTCCTACACAGAGATTTATAGCGCCTTTTCTTCCTCTGTTGTTTAGAAAATATTCCTGTTCTGCACAACATTCTAGATGTGGAAGTACAAAGCATAGTAATAAGGATAAAGTTATTGGTAGAATATTCAAATGTAAGGACATACCATCAAGTTTGTGTCTGGTATCAGGAGTGAACAGAAAAGTTATCAACTGTGGCTTGTTAAAGAGCATTTGCCACTGTTGGATGTATAAACCTGAAAAGCAAAACTCCCAGAAAGGTTAAAATATCGTAAACTGTTCTGAAAGCTCCAACTCCATGGCAAATGAGAGAAAACAAGAAAATAGATGTTTGTGAACTCTGTCAAGTGTATCACACCAATACAGATGACTTCAGGGTGTTATGCAGAGCAGAAAAAAAAATGTGTCCTGCAAAGAATGAAAGTTTTTACAGGTTTGCAGCTGATGTGATTGTAGCTCTCTCAGGTACAGTTAGTCTCCTCAGATTCTCACTTTGCTGGGAGCCATTCCTTCCACACAGGAGCTCCCTGGGTGGATTTTGGGAAAGGTGGGGCCCCTTCACTGACCCTGCCGTGTTGGCTTGTTTCAACAGGGCATAATGGGGTAGGAAATGGCAACCAGCCAGAAATCAGAGAGTTGTGAGGTTCAGATTCTGAAGGACTTGGTAAATTCTTTTCTTGAGTCTTCCAGAACAAGAAAATAGTTATTTTGGTTTGGTTTTCCTGGTTTGGTTTGGTTTGTTTTTCCACTCAAGGGAAGAAGATCCAAGGCCTGAGTGTTGTTTGCCTTGGAAGGCTGGCAGAGGGCCAGGAGATGTTGCTTGTGCTGTGAGGGCTCAGATGAGTCAGCACTGAAGTAGGGAAGTGGCAGCTGACTCACAGCCTCAGAGCAGTGTAAATAAACAGGTACAGCACCCTGGACATCTGCCAAAGGAATTGTGACCCAGGCATAATCATGCAACCATCATTATTATCATTATTATTAAGTGCAGCCTACCACAGGATTGGCTTCATGCTGAGTCTGAGAGCAGATAATGAGTATTTCACCAGCTGGATTGTGCTACATGTGATGCAAAACTTTTATCTCTGTGCAACCAGTTTAGAATGAAATCAGATTGACAAACTGCCTGCATTCACACAGAATTTGCCAATCTTCTCATACCATTTTATCAAGTCTCCAGATCTTTATCTATCCTTGTGTGTATGTGTATGAGTGCAGAGAGATGCTCATGGAGAAATCATGGTTTTACTTGGTGCAAAGAAGGTATTAGAGGTAGCACAAAAATTGATTTCTTTCCTCTTGGAGAGCCAGTGATGTAGGGGGAATAAAAGAAATCTATTTGCTATCCCAGACTGTGATTCCTAAATGTGGAATGCTCATCAGTCACATGACAGGGATTTGGAAATTGAGCTGGCATTCTGACATTGCAGACCTGGATCTGTAACTCCTAGATCAGTCTACCAAGGGAAAATCAGAATTCCTAAAGTGCTGCCTTACAAAAGTGTTGGCTGGCCTGTTATTCTGTTACTCATGTTAACTTTTTAAAAAATCCTCAGAAAACTTTGTATCTATAAATTTCATTTGATAGAAGAACAAAGTTCTGCATGTGCACAGGAGATGATGGTCTCCCTGATCCTCATCCCATGTCCCATCTGGAAGAGCACACAGCTCTCCAGGGAATGCCTGGCTTTTGGTGTCTGTTACAACTCTTTAGCCACAGGATCCTTTTTCAAAGCTCAGTCCTTGAGTGGCTGCCTGTGTGTGGGTTATTTAGGATGCTAATTCCAGGATGTTTAGGAGTAGGGATGTCTGGAAGGTCCCAGAAGGATACTCTCCCTCAGAGTTCTCATGAAGAACAGTGACATTTTGGTGGTGCAGACATTGCTGTGTTCCCCTGTGCCCTCCATGGGTGAGGGAGAGCTGGGACCACACAAACATCACTGCAGTCAGTCCTTGGCGTTGTTGCTGCAGTTCCCAGGCAGGTTTGTGTGTTAGCCTGGTTCCACTCAGGATTTTTCTGTGTGCTGATGATCCCTGGGTGAGGCAGAGCTGTCCCAGCGCTCTCCACTCTCCCAGGATGCCCAGCTGAGCTCGAGGCTGGCGGTGGCTGAAGTTGGACGAGCAGCTCCCAACGAGCCGCACACAAAGCCTGTTCCAGGCGCTCCCAGGTGCTGTGGGCTAACCTGTTCTGATTTTCCAGGGGAGAAGCCACACAGGTGCCACCTGTGTCCCTTTGCCTCGGCCTATGAGCGTCACCTGGAGGCCCACATGCGGTCCCACACCGGGGAGAAGCCCTACAAGTGCGAGCTGTGCTCCTTCCGCTGCAGCGACCGCAGCAACCTGTCCCACCACCGCCGGCGCAAGCACAAGATGGTGCCCATCAAGGGCACCAGGTCTTCCCTGAGCAGCAAGAAGATGTGGGGGGTTCTGCAGAAGAAAACCAGCAATTTGGGCTACAGCAGAAGAGCGTTAATTAATCTGAGTCCGCCTTCCATGGTGGTGCAGAAACCAGACTACCTTAACGATTTCACCCACGAGATCCCCAATATCCAGACTGAGGCGTACGAGAGCATGGCAAAAACCACACCGAGTGGTGGCTTGCCAAGAGATCCACAGGACCTCATGGTGGATAATCCTTTAAACCAGCTCTCCACCTTAGCAGGACAGTTGTCCAGTTTGCCACCTGAAAACCAAAATCCAGCCTCTCCTGACGTCGTTTCCTGTCAAGAAGAAAAGCCTTTCATGATACAGCAGCCTGCTGCACCTGCAGTAGTTTCAGCTGTGTCAGCAAATATTCCTCAGAATTCCTCTCCAACCAGCCCAGACTCCCGGCCCACTCACAATCAGAGGAACTATAGTCCCGTGGCAGGGCCCAGCAGCGACCGCAGTGCCCACACCAGTACTCCCAGTATCAGCAACAGCCAGCCCAGCACTCCAGCTCCAACCCTGCCAGTGCAGGACCCTCAGCTCCTGCACCACTGCCCACACTGTGACATGTACTTTGCAGACAATATCCTTTACACCATCCACATGGGATGCCATGGATTTGAAAACCCTTTCCAGTGTAACATTTGTGGGTGTAAGTGTAAAAACAAGTATGACTTCGCTTGCCACTTTGCAAGAGGCCAACATAATCAACATTGACTGAGAACATGCTTTTGTTTAGTTTTTTAACATATTACAGTCTATTTTTCATACTTGCTGATGGAAAGCTTGCACATTCCCATAAGGAATCTTCACATTAATCAATTCGACAAAGGAGGCAAATTGATTTCCGTGTTCTTGTAAAACTTGCCAGGGAAATTTTGTATCAGATTCAGTTGCTGTTTTATATGTAGCTTTTCAAAAAAAGCCAAGAGTGCTGTAAGGGTTGGAATGCATTTACATGCTGTGGTTGCTAAATTTAAGTTGCTTGCATTTAATCCCAATAAACATTCTGCAAGTGGAGAAGCAGAGCGTGTGTCCTGAACCATAGGAGGTAATGCCCAGATTGTTTACGAGGCAAGACAAGACATATTATCCATAAAATATGAAAGGTCAATGCAATGCCACATCATATAGAGACAGAACAAGGAGGAATGGTGGCTTCATGGTGACAGAGGGCAGGGATGGATGGGATATTGGAAGGAATTGTCAGGGTGGGCAGGCCCTGGCACAGGTGCCCAGAGCAGCTGGGGCTGCCCCTGCATCCCTGGCAGTGCCCAAGGCCAGGTTGGACACTGGGGCTGGGAGCAGCCTGGGACAGTGGAAGGTGTCCCTCCTTTAAGGTCCCTTCCAACCTCAACCATTCTTTGACTTTGGAGAAATCTTTAAAAACCTGGCTACTCAAACAAACAGAAGCAATTTTCACATACAAAATCAGTTTGATGTAAACGTTGCTTTAATCTGATGAAGGTTAATAATAAGTTTTTGTTTAGTATAGTCTAAACTCTTCATGCTAGGACTTCAACACTAATTTAACTATTAGCACAAAAGTAGAAGATAACAGGTTATTGTGAATAAAACTATGGTAGAAAAAAGAAAGAGCTAAAAGCCTGTTATTCATGAGTTATTGAAAACAAAAAAGGAAGAAACCTTATTTTACCTACACTCTACAAAATTTTCCATGTCATTTTTTTTTTCAGAGGAAGCAATTTTTAGAGAGATAATGAAGAGCCTGTAGAACTAATGTATATTCTGTGAGATTTCTAACTGCCTTAAACTGAGTTGTACAGATATTTAAAATTTGCACAATTAGACTTCTGTCCTGCTGATAGAAGTTCTGATAGAAACAAACTAGAAGTTTACAAATCAAACTCCTTTGTTCAGTTTTATGTTGGGCCAGGCTACAACTGAGAGGTTGCCTGTATTTTTGAGAGTTGTATAATCCAGTTTAATGTAAATTTCAGCTGACTTGGAGGCCTGGTTTGCCCCCTCTCCCAGGTTTGATGTCCTTTGGGTGTGCTGGGAATAAGGGGAAGCACCTCTGGCTTTTTCTGGGCTCCATGTAGGATGCAGAGGAAAACTGACTGACTACACTGATGTTGTTTTTAGGAATTGTGGATGGCAAATAATAACTGAGGTTGTTTATTTTGCTTCTTAGTGTACACTCATCTTTAGAAGCCCTCAGGCTAAAAGACAGGCACTTTAACCTAAACCTGAGTAAAACATCTAATTAAAATGAATAATAACTTTATGTGCTAGATAAGAATTTGAGACATTAAAGGAAGAACTGTTACTTTTCCCATATTTAGACATGCACTTTTACCTTGGTTTGTCCTACTTGAGACAAATTAAAGCTTCCCTTATATATTTCCTTTTCCTATCAGCAAAGCATGTTTTGTTAAAATCAGGGAGATTTTATTAATGTTCCACAAGTCAGAGGTTGGAATCTCAATAGGAAATGTTTGGCTTATTCAAATTTATATTTTTATGCTAAAACTTCTTGAAACTAATGGAAAAAATGTACAGTGATCAGGGTGAGATCAATGCAGGAAAACCACCTGTGTAAGAATTTTAGCTGTAGAAGTAATTTTGACTTTACTTAAATAGAAATTTGGATACCAGACCTGTTTCTGTCTACCTGACTGACCTACTGTTGAATTTCTGTGCTTGAGGAACTGGGTTCTTTCTTGGCTGTGCAGTCTTGTAGTAATGAGATGAGAAAACTGTGACTGGAGTGGTTCCAGTGTAGTTAAGATGAACAATAACACTGTCACTCCTAAAAATTGTTTTGTTTTCAGGCCTGGTTCAGAATTTGTTTTGCTGGATTTGTAAGACAGAATGTAATTTGCATTTTTCATCAGGACACTCTGTAATTCCAAAATATTTCATTGTTGCTTTATACTTTTTAGATTTGTTTTATAAGTAAAACTGCAAGTCTGTGTGTGTAAACATCCTTTATTTTAAGGATAAAAGCTGACTGAACTGGAATCCAGTTAGAACTTATTGCTCCTGGGCAAGTTTTGGAATCAAAATTTTTCCAGTTAAAGAGGGCAGAAATGGTGGCTCTCTTTGGATCACATGTTGAACAATTCTATAATTTAAATTTGGCTGAAATGTAGTGTTAGGATAAGAGAAGACTGGAAGACTTTACAACTATTAATTTATGGAAGTGGTTTTCCTTGTCTTTTTGGTAGATGATGCCCTCTCCTATTCCCAAGCTCTGGCATTCCCAAGGGAACTTGTGCATGCTGGAGCTCCAGGGAGCACCTTTCAGTACTGACTGATCACAGCAGCCAAGGGCTCCTTGCCTTGTGGGTTTTTCCCTGCTGGTATCCTAGGGAGAGTCGCTTCCCTGTGCACAGATGTGGTTTCTGACCTCTGGGGCTTCTGCTGGCTGTGTTCACATTGCTAGAGGCTTCTCTTTGTCTCCTCATTTGGTGATTTAGAGAAATGTCTCCTGAGCCACAATGGCCTTGGGCAGAACTCAGGGTGGGTCACTGATGGAGGAGTTGGGAGCAGGAGGAAGCCTGCAGGACCCCATGGAAAAGGGGCCCTTGTTCAGGAGGGGATCCCATTGTGAGGAATGGATGTTCTTAACAACAGAACTCAGTGTGAAAAAATCTGTCCCCAAGCCTTGCAAATCAGTGTTTGGAAGGATTTTCCTGCTGCTGCCTGGACACCACGGGTTCTGCTCTGGAGTGACTGAGGGAAAGATTAGTTGGGACATCTCTGAATGGTTGAGGAATGAAAAAACTCTTTTCTCTGTTTCCTTGGGCAAACTCCTCATGGCAGGGGCGTTCCTGGGCAGCAGCAGCAGCAGCAGTGTTGGTGCTCATCCCTTGGTTCTGCCCCCAGAGCCCTGGGGTGCATCCCTGTGTCCTTCCCAGGACTGGGATGTTCCTGTTCCAGGATCACACTGTGTGTTCAGTTGTGCCAAACACTGCCCTGGCATCATTGTCCCCTCCTGTCAACTGAGCAGCTTTGGAAGGTGTGTTTTCCTATTTTTCATAATTTATACATACTATTGACTAGAATTTAAAGACCAGAGCTGGTACTGGCAAATTCTTTCCAAGTGTGATCCCTTGCACAAGCAGGCCTTACCCAGAGCCAGTGAGGGAGACTTGTCCAGGATTCTGGGATTGAGTCCTTTGTTAAAAGAACGTTTCATTTTGAGTCCTCCATGTGCACTCACACTGCACTCACTTGTTTTGTTGGTTTTTTTAAAAACCCAAATCCTCACATTATAAGGTAATGGGTGATTAACATTTTAACTGTTATTAATGGAAGTTTGGAAAGGAGATGGAACTTTTCCATAGTTCTGTAGCTGCAAAACATGAACCTTGTGGGGGTTTTGTTTTCATTGTCACTGATTATTTTATAGCTTTGTGGACATTTCTAACGTGCACTATTTATAGCACTCTTAATACACACTCACTGTTTTGAGACTGAATATTCCAATGAACATTTGAATATTTCAACATTTTCATTATCTCAGTTAATATTCAACTGTGAAGGAGGCAATAGGAAAAATATTTTGTTTTTTCACAGACACATGTTTAGATGAAGAGGATTTAGACATAAAATGTTGATTGGCTTTTTAATATAAAAGTCAGTGCTGGGACATTTCCCAGCAGTGTTTTCCAGACAAATAATCTGTTAATGTTTGTTTTGTTCCAGAATGTTTTGGGGGTTTGCTTTTTGTTTCTTTTTGACAAAGGGAATGTAATTTAGAAGTCTTCACTGGCAAGTTTTCTACTAATTTTAAGCTTCTTTGAAAATCTACAGCAAATGATGTTCTGCTGCAGGAAATCTCTCTCCTGCTAAAGCATTTTTCATTGAGCAATCTTTGTGTATGTGCTTCTAAGTACCTACTTTGTTAATAATATGTATTTCAGCGTAAAGAGCAGATTTTATGCAAAAATGAAAGCTGTTAGAGTTGTAAAATAAATTCTAATGTTAGTGAACGTTTCTGAGATGACAAGGTTAATTCTGAAATAACTCTATCTTGTGTAGTTCATGCTGTGAAGCTTTGCTTTTGTAAGATATGAATAAAATAACACTTTCTAATTAGGTCCCATGTCAATTCTTAATTGCATATCCTTCCATGGGTGGAGCTGGTGATTTCCCAGGTGCTCCTCCTGGGTTAACTCTTTCTGATTCTGTGAAATTTGAATCTCAGGATGGTTTGCTCTTGGCTTGATCTCCACAGCCAAGAACAGCTTGGTTAGATTTGATTAAAGTGTTTCTCTTCCATATCATGAGGAGAGGAGGCACAGGGGCTCCAGAGAAGGGAGCTGCACCTCAGATCTCTCAGCAGCAGTGCTCAGAGTACTGCATTTGAAATACTTGGGACTCCTAAACACCCAACATTCTCTGTGTCATTATTTTAAAACATATTTATTTACTACCTTGGTTGCCTCCTGTTGGAATGAAGAAATAACACTTGTAGCAGGGTCAGAATATTGGGTTTTCAAAGTCTTTCCTTGCCTCAAGTCTTCCAAAAATTCTGCTTTCAGTTTGTTGAGTTCTTCTGCCAGCTTCTTCATCTCACTTGGGAGAACGTTTTTACCTAAAACAAAATTGAAGCTGAACTTTTAACTTCATGCTTACAGAAAAAAGTCACAGACCCACAGAATATCCTGAGTTGATGATCCCCCACAGGACCATCAGTCCAGCTCCTGTCCCTGCACAGACACCCCAACAACCCCACCCTGGCAGCTCTGCCCAAACTCCTGGAGCTCTGGCAGCCTCGGGGCTGTGCCCATTCCCTGGGGAGCCTGGGCAGTGCCAGCACCCTCTGGGGAAGAACCTTTCCCTAAATCCAACCTAAACCCCCCTGACAACACTCCAGGGAGAAGCCTGAACACAGGCACAGAGCTGAGCTTTTCAGTTGAGGACACCGAGCTGCTCCTCATATAAATCTGCCCCTGTCCTTATTGCCACGTGTCCCAAAGCAGTATTAAAATCCTCTAAAATGCTGCTCTGTACTAAATGGCTTTATTAAAGCTGTAATTAATACAGTTAATAAACATGATACTGGTTTTTAAACCTACAGACTTCTACAGACAACCCTGACCAGAGCTGTGAAGGTGTTGCCACAGGCACAGCACCTGGGATAGGATCCTGGACAGTTTATCCCAAGGGAATTGCAGGGGATGTTTCCCAATGCCAGTTGGAGCTGGGATGGGTGGGAAGGGCAGATGGGGTGGGTACCTTTGGCATCCTGCATGGCCTCAGAGATGGCTCTCCTGCATGCCTGGTCAGCCTGATGGACAGCACTGGCTGCACAGATGGCTCGAGCTGCCTCCTGGCCAGGGCCACCAGCAAGGAAGAAAACAAACAAACACTTTGAATTTACTTGGCTTTTGAAGTGCTATTTGAGAACAAAACATTAGCAGCACCTCAGGCTGGCACCACTGTCCCAGGCTGCTCCCAGCCCCAGTGTCCAACCTGGCTTAAATTAGTGTTGAAGTCCTAGCATGAAGAGTTTAGACTATACTAAACAAAAACTTATTATTAACCTTCATCAGATTAAAGCAACTTTTACATCAAAATTTGAATTTGTACATGAAAATTGCTTCTGTTTGTTTGAGTAGCCAGGTTTTTAAGGATTTCTCCAAAGTCACAGAATTGGTTGGAAGGGACCTTAAAGGAGGGACAGGACACCTTCCACTGTCCCAGGCTGCTCCCAGCCCTGTCCAGCCTGGCCTTGGGCACTGCCAGGGATGCAGGGGCAGCCCCAGCTGCTCTGGGCACCCTTGCCAGGGCCTGCCCATCCTCACAGGGAACAATTCCAAAGCTGTGCCCTGAAGCCCAGCAGTGCTACCTTCTGCTCTGTGTCCTCCTCATTTGGCCTCTCTGGATTTTCCAAAGCAGTGGCCAGCAAGTTCATGATCTGCTCACTAAGAAAACAAACAGAGTAAACCATGACAATCACACAGATACACTTCTTTTCTTTTCTAATGATGCCACAGAAAAAAAAAATGAAAAGCAAGATTTCAGTTAAACTTTTAAGGCAATCAGTGAAATAATCCTAAATGAAAAACAATTACAACTCAAATTATTTCCAGCCTTATCATTTCAGACAACTTGCACAGATTTTCAGTAACAGGGTAGGAATGCGGTGGGTTTTGAGGTTAACTCTGCAGAGGATGGTGGCTGTGAGCTCCCAACAAGCCTGGATTCTGTGTAACTGCCAAAAGTCACCACTGGGAATATTTTTTACACGTTGTGTAGATACAAAAAGAAGCTTCTACCACTGAAGATAGCACTTAGGGAAAACTCTGGGATCAATCAGTAACATACTCATCCTCTGAGATGCCATCAGAACTGCTCAGAATGAGGCTGTGCTGCTCCCAGGTGTTTTTCCTGGGATCTGGCACCTCTATTTTCCTTGCCATTAATTGTATGGTCTGCTCAGGCACAGGATCACTCCTGCGGCGGTTCCTCTGCAGGCAGCATTCAACTGGGCACTCCAAAAACAACTGGCAGAAGCCCAAGGAATCTAAAAAGAACAGAACCAGACAATTTTGTCTTTAAACAGTTCAAGTAACAATTTCTGAGAGCAGCATGCAGGAGAAAGGCTCTACATGAATGAGGAGCTTCTGCTCTGCTTCTGAGCCTGACATGAACACAAATCTGGACAGGGAACAGAATTTTACCTCAAGGCTGCTCAAGAAATGTCTGAGACAGAACCATGGAATGGTAGAGTCATTTCATTCCATCCCTGCCATGGGCAGGGACGCCTTCCACTGTCCCAGGTGCTCCAAACCCTGTCCAGCCTGGCCTTGGGCACTGCCAGGGATCCAGGGGCAGCCACAGCTGCTCTGGGCACCCTGTGCCAGGGAACAATTCCTTCCCAATATCCCATTCATCCCTGCCCTCTGTCACTGGGAAGTCATTTCCCCTGCTCTGTCATTCCATGCCCTTGTCCCAAGTCCCTCTCCAGCACTCTTGGAGCCTCCTTATGTTCTGGAAGGTGCTTTAAGGCTGCTCTAGGAAGGGTTTTACACGATCTACCAATTTATAATAAGGCAGTAACAAAGTAACATTGATTGCTACTCTATTACAGGTACCCAGCAATCAGAATAACCCACGCTCCGGGAGAGCACGTGAAAGAAGGCGCTGAATTTCCCACAATCATCCTCATGCCGAAGATCAGCGAATAAATAATTACATTTGCGGGCCAGCTGGTACACCTCGTAGCGCATGCTCTGGTAATAGAAGTTGTCATCCAGCAGGAGGACGAGCGGCCGGGAGGCGGCTCTGGGGGCGGGCAGCAGCCCCTCCCGGCGGCAGCAGCGCAGGAAGCGCGGCCAGCCCGGCTGCACGGGGCCGGGCAGCGGCGCCCCGGTGAGCAGCGCCCGCAGGAGCCCCTCCAGGCACTGCAGCAGGTCGCGGCGGCTCTGCTTCCAGCCGGGCAGCTGTGGGGAGAGCAAGGCGGGAGATCACGGCCTCCATCGCCGCCGCCGAGCGCTCCCGGCCCCGCGCCCGCCGTGAGGGGACGCGGCCCGGCCAGGCCGCGTCCCGTTGCCTGGCAACCGCGGTCGCACGCGATGACGTAACACCAGCGCGCCGCACTGACCGATGGGGACGGGCTGGTGCGGAAGGCCTCGGGCGGGATGAGCTCGTCGTAGGCGAGCAGCGCGCAGGCCCAGCCCGGCCGTTGCGGCAGGCGGCGGCTCAGGGCGCGGCCCAGGGTGGACTTGCCGGCCGCGGGCAGCCCGCACAGCAGGCACAGCCCCACCTGGGCGCCGCCGCCGCTTCCCCGGTGCTGCTGCTCCGCTGCCAGCGCTGCCGGTCCCGCCGCTTCCGCTGGCGCTGTCCGCATGCGCCGGGCCCGCGCCGCGAGGCGCCCCCTGGCGGACCCGGTGTAAACGACAGAGCCCGGAACGGCCCCTTCAACCCGACTCGGGTTTAATCCGGTTCTGGAGTTACACATTTTTTACCCAATTCTGGTTTTACCCATTTTTTACCCAGTTCTGGTTTTACCCATTTTTTACTCGGTTCTGCTTTTACCCATTTTTTACCCAATTCTGCTTTTACCCATTTTTTACCTCGTTCTGGTTTTTGCACATTTTTTTACCCAATTCTGGTTTTACCCATTTCTACCCAGTTCTGGTTTTTACCCATCTTTTACCCAATTCTGCTTATATCCATTCTTTACCCAGTTCTGCTTTTACCCATTTTTTTACCGGGTTCTAGTTTTTACCCATTTTTTACCAGGTTCTGGTTTAACCCATTTTTTACCCTTTTGTGGTTTTACCCATTTTTTACCCAGTTCTGGTATCACAATAAGCACAAGAATTCTCTTTAGTCCCCCCTGAACCTTACAGGCTGAGCCCCATCCCTCCCATGCCCCACGGTGCCTTCTGTGGTGATCACAAAACAAAGATACAACCACGTGTGCTGCCCCTGAGGATTTATTTAAAATTGTAATGTAATAAATAAAAGCAATGTCATATTATACTTGAGGTCTAAATGACAGGAATATTTAATGAGAACAGTTTGAGATCCTGAGGGATCAAGGAAGAGGACACTTTTTTGGAAGACACAGACTTTTTGCCAGCAATCTCTTTTGGGTTCTTTTGTCCAGCTCTTCAGTGATGTGGCCATCTGAGGGGTTGGAAATACTTTATCAGGGAGGCAATCCTGTGATTTATTCACTCTTTTTCCCAGTCTGCACTCTGAAATTTGCATGAGCACAGCCAGGGTGTGCTGCACACCCACAGCTCTGTTCTGGGCTAAATCTAAATCTAAAAATCTCTCTGAGCTGCAGCTGGTGGAGACTTTCCCTGGATTTCCTGCATCCCTCTTCTACAGAGACATTTGATGGAGCCTATTTGGAAATCTATATCCCTCCATACATCCTCTTTGAAATCAGTGCTGGTTTCTAACTGTGTCATGACAAAAGTTAATCTGTTGCTTTTGTGGTGGAAGCAATTTCTAGGAAAAAAGGCCAAGCTGCCACACCCAGTAAACCCTGAACCACTGTGGAGCTGTAGAGGTATTCCCAATATCCCACATTTTCTGTAACAGAGATGGATGGGTTCTTTCAGACCCAGGACATGACCTACAGAGTTTCTGGTGTCCCCAGGTGAGGTTACTTTTATAAATTACCTGAAATGGAAGCTGACCTGGCTGGTGGGGTGTGAGAGGTGGGCTCTGGGTGATGGCACTCCAGGACTGCAGCCACAGTTCCAATTGGACTGCTACCACCAGGGTGTCAGGTTCTGTTCTGACTCTGTCAGTGCTGTTTTAGTTTACTGCATTGTTTATTTTCTTTGTATTTTCTTCCCTAGCAAAGAACTGTTATTCCTGCTGCCATATTTTTGCCTGAGAGCCCCTTAATTTAAAATTTATAACAATTTGGAGGGAGGGGGTTTACATTCTCCATTTCAGGGGAGGCTCCTGCCTTCCTTAGACACCTGGCTTCCCCAACCAAGACACAGGTGGGACTGTCCCCAAACCTGGCTCTGCAGACCCTGAGTTCCTGGCAGTGTCCTGAGGACAGGAGAGGAGAGCCCAGGAGGTAAAGTGCAGCTGTCCCATCTTTGACTGATGTCTGTGAACAGCAGAATTCATTTCTCTGTGGCCTGAGAGGGAGGCAGCAGTGCCAGAGTCCTGTTCTCTGGCACTCCCCCAGGTTCACTCCTGTGCATGTTGAACTTCAGGGTCTGGTTTGTAAAAGGTGAGGTAGAGGAGGCACAAACACAGCCAGCAGCAAGGAGCAAAACTCTGGGGTGTCACCAATCTGTCCTGAGAGCCCCTGGGCACCCAGGGGCCAGGAGGGACCTGCTTCCCAAAGGCATTTTGGCTGCACAAGGAGAGCACTGGAGCACTGAAATCCTTTCATTTGTATTTCAGGCCAGTTTTCTGTCAGAATTGGTTGAGGGCTCCCAAGAAACATCTCAGACAACTGGTCTAGGTGGGACTGGGGGTCGTCGAGGTCCTGAGGAAGCTGCAGGAGGCTGGGTTTGGACTGGCTGCCTGAAGTGTGGGAAACACATTGGGTTTAGTATTTCATGACTTGAGACACCTGACATTTCCAAACTGGTTCTTTACCATTTTTAAGCAGTTTCTATAATTTCCACCCAATTCTCTCTGCCCCTTCCTCTCCCTTGCAGCATTTACCTGTGTTTATGCCAACATTGTTCCTTCAAGCCTTTAATCAACCTATGCTTGATGCTGCATGACAAATCTATTAATTAAATATTAATTAATATATTAATTAATCTGATTAATTTAAATTTAATTTATCTATTAATTTAATCTAATCTAATCTTAAATCTATTTCATAATGTTGCATAAGCAGGACACAGGACATCAATAATTTCACTTACAGCAACATAAACATAGGGAAGATGAAGTGAAGAAGGTTTTAAACTACAAACCTTGTACCAGGAAAATGCAATATGGTAAAAATATTGTGACTTGATGCAGCAGGCTGAAAAAAACATTGCAGAAAATCAGTTTAGCAGAAAACACAAAGTGTAGGTAATTCTTCAGTATTGAGCTAATGTCATTTTAGAACTGGCTCTCATTTGCTGGGGCTTTCTTCATATTCTCTTGCAACATTTTGTTTTGATAATTTTTATTCAGTTTTATAAGAACTAGACCCACAGCCTGGCTAAGCAGCAACACCAGTGTTTGACCTAAGAAATAACAGAGGTGGTTTCAATGTATCAAAAAGTCACAAAATCATAATTAGCTGTGTTGGAGAAAAGGCACTGTGCAGTCTGGATTACCCAACATGAAATAATCCAAGTCTCCATCAATTTTACCTGATTATTTCCTGTTTCATGACTTGCTCTGTTGCCTTGCTTTGGTTCCTGCCCATTGCTATCCCTGAAACAGAAACCACATCATCAGGAATCCTTCAGGGATGCAGCATTTTCCAAGGACACAGCTACAGCTCAGAGCTCTGGGTTCTGCTTTGAGTCCATCCTGTTCTGGACTTGACAGGCAATTTCAATATGCTCTGCTCCTGCATCCATACAATTCAATTATCAACAAAAATTAGGAAAGTGCCATGGATTTGGGAAAAAATGCTTGAGATCAGACAAGTGGAGTGTCTGGATTGCACTTCCAAGGAGCAGGGGATGGGCTGGTAAATTCCCCACTGCTGCTATTAGCAGGGCAGGCTTGTCCTTTAGGAGGAGTGGAATATTTTGTGTAGGTGAAGCCTTGCTGCACTGACCTGGGGCACACTCTCATGTTGGATTACCACCTGTGAGAAGGGAAATACCTGTGCTGTCCTCTGCTTTTCCTGCAAAGTTTTCTCCTTATTGCATCACGTTTAAATACTGCTACTGCAATGAGGATGGCTACGGGCAGCACCAGGAGGAAGAAAATCAGCAGCCCATCCCGAAGTGATGTATCTAGGGGAAAAGAATTGAAATGATAGAATTTTAAATCCTTTAAAAGCTATTTAAACCTTTTTTTTGGTTTAAACAGTACAATCTTCAAATTGTTGCAGAATAGAATTAACAACTTCACTGAAATTTATAACATGTTGCAATCAGAAGAGTAAGATTTGGCTTTGTGGTATTACAAGTTCTCTCTGCCTTACCCACTCTATGTATATGCAACGTTTTTCCTTTTCCATAAAATGTTTTCAATAATTCTGAAGCAGACAAATTCATTTTGTATTTGCTTACCACAAGTGCTCTGCATGTTTGCTTTGCCTTCCTAAACTTTTAATAAATACAAAACAATTTTTCCCTTTCCCAAAGTACAAATTTAGTAAAATTCAATAAAGTTCTGCAGAAAGTAAAACAGATTTTCCTCAGAAAACTATGGATTATGAAGTTTGCTTTTAGACAAAGAGATGGAAGGCATTTTGTGTGTAAAGGCCAGCAAAAGCTACTTCATTATCAAATAATAATGTTTGTTCTTCAAGTCAGTCCATTATTTGGATCTCATGCAATAGAAAAAAAAAGTATGCTATTAGTAGATTATTTATTTGTTATTAGTAGATTATTTTTACGTTATTAGTAGATTATTTTTATGTTATTAGTAGATTATTTTCTCAGCCCCTGGGGCAGAATGAGGGCCAGTTTCAGTGTCCTACCTCTGTGAGCTGGGCCACTGTCAATGCTGCCGCCGTAGCCAGACTGGTTACAGAAAGGAGGGGCCCATCCCGTATTGCAGTGGCAGTTCCCGTTGTTGTTACACACCTACAGCTCAAACAAGAGGGACTCGTGAGTCAGGCAGGGACAGCCCCCAGAGCTGTCACACCCCTACAGCCCAAACACAGGGATTAGTCAAACAACACCTCATTAGTCAAACAACACCTCCCTAAGAGTGTCCACTCAAAACTTTGGCATGGATTTGGAGTTCCATGCATGGAATTGCATGTGGAAATAAAAAATACTGCATAGTATTGCATGGAAATACATGAAATATTAACTGGGAATAAGCTCTGCCCCTCCATAACAGCCCAAACCACTGTGGGATTCTGATACCCCCGTGGTAATTCTCTCTAAGTTAACATTTGTGTTATCTGCCTGCAATTAATCACAGTCCAGAAACCTCAGTTTTACAACCTCTGGACTCCATTTTGATTTTTCACAGAGACATATACAAATCAGGAATTACCAGACTGTTATCCTCAAAGGAATATTTTCCTTTTGCAATTCACCAGCTCAGTAATATTAAAAAAAAAAAAAAATCCCTTGGGAAATTCAGACAAAATGCCTCTCAATGTTAGTCCTAAGGGGTTTGCAGCGTTCTGGCAAATTACAGGTAAAAAAAGTGGATTTAACTTTTAATACAGATCAGGAAAAAGCAAAGCCACCTGCTTGGTTATTGCTTAAAAGCAGGGAATTTGCACAGTCTAGAAACAGGACACAAAGCACCATCTACTCACCCCGTTATTATTACACTTCTGCTTTACATCACAGCTGTAGCCCAGAAATCTTGCATCAAGACATTCACAACCTAAACAGGCCTGCAACAAATAATTAGTGTCTTGCAAACACAAAACTTTAAAAACCCCATACTTTTATAAATATACTGTCTGCAGCTTTCACTTACATGTTAAGAAAAAGGACTGATACAACATTCGGTATTTCAGAATTCTATAACTTTATTTAGTCTCAGGTTTGCTTAACTCTGTGAATGCAGTAATGGAGTATTTGATAGAGTAATTTGAATGAGTGATAATGTAGCACCCCAGTTTTTTGAAGAGCTAATTAATTGCTTGCATGTATTAATCCCAAAAGATTTTTATTGTGTTATGGCATATGAACAAGAGAGCCAGGGAACGTTTTTGGAAGTTCAGAACCTTCCACCTGGAATATATTCTGTCAGGCTGCCATGGTTCCTCTTACCTTGTTCTCTCCACAGGCTGTGCCATCATGAACTTGGGCAGGATCAGGGATATCTGATCCTAGGTCAAAGTCAGAGGACCAGCACAAAACCCCGGACGCGTTATTGACAACGCTCCAGGCTGGGAGGTTCTGGAGACTGACAGAGGTGCACTGCAGCTTCCCACACAGACTGTGCCTGTTTGGAATGAAGGATGCTCTGAGACAAGGTGGACAGGTAAAAATCAGGATCAGGGTAATCCATTCCAAGTTTTTAGTTTGTATTAAAATCAGGATCAGTGTAATCCATTCCAACTTTTTAGCTTGTATTAAAATCAGGATCAGGGTAATCCATTCCAACTTTTTCGCTGGTATTAAAATCAGGATCAGCGTAATCCATTCCAACTTTTTAGCTTGTATTAAAATCAGGATCAGTGTAATCCATTCCAACTTTTTAGCTGGTATTAAAATCAGGATCAGTGTAATCCATTCCAACTTTTTCGTTTGCATTAAAATCAGGATCAGCGCAAATCCATTCCAACTTTTTAGCTTGCATTTTAAAAAATTTTCTTTTAAATCTCTCACTTTAAGGCTTTGTAACAAATATATTTTTTTTACATTGAGGATTTTAAGGTTAGCTTTTATTTTTATTGACTTACTGGACAGGGCATTTCTTGTACACTCCACCTTTCATCCCACAGTTTCCAAACCTATCTCCTTTAATATTTGCTTTTTCAAAGCATATATCAGGTGCTTTCCGTGCCCCTGTACAAAACAATTAGTCAATCTCAGTAAGGTGTCTGAAAAATACCAGGAAGAAAAATTGGAAATGTCTATCAGGAACCTACAAATGGGTTTACAGCAAATGCCAACCCTACCTTTGCCATAGATAGATTCACACTGTGAATCAAAGCTCTGGCACACTCCATAGTAGCAATAAGCCTTGCTGTTGCTGCATGGGTGACCATTCATGATGTAAACATCATCTGGGCAGTAGGCAGTGCTTCCATTGCAGTACTCAGGGAGATCACAGACATCTTGTTTTGCTCTGCACTCTGCTCCTGCCACTTTAAACTAGGACCAGAGAGGGAGAACACTTTCAGTGTTGCAACAGAGGAAGTTCTAGAGTGAAACAAAAACAACTGGGAACATTTATAAGCAAAATTCTCTTCTTACATGCTCTCTTACTGGTGAATGTAATTTGAAAATATGTCAAGAGGACTAGGATAACTCTTTTCAAACATAAAAAAAATGCCAGTGAACAGTGACAATTTAGTTTAATAAAAAATTGCCCACCTTGCAGTTTTTGCAGCACAGTCCTTGAGCACACTGTGAGCCAGGTGTGAGTTTGCAGGTGGCAGCATCACAGCAGGGGTTGGAGCATTCCTGAGAACATTGAAAGGGAATAGTGTTTTATTTATTTATTTATACACCCAGGAAAGCACTCACCAGTCCATGTGGATGGACAAGCCAAAGTTTAAATAACTGTGTCAGATTCTCACATTCTCCTGCTGTAAAAAGAACCAGCAAACACTGCTGCTGCTGTGTTTTATCTGTACAAGTCAGCAGAAAAACACCTGTTTGGATGGGTTGTGGCACAGGGATGCCAATGGAACCAGGGCTTGCTGGCAGCCTTTTGGTTTATTGCTGCCTTTTCTGAGACACTTTTACCCTGTGAAGAATGAGCCAATACCTCCCATTCTTGGAGGGACATTTTGACAACGCAAATGTGACTCTTAAAAGTCATTTTGTGCAGGCAAAGTTGAAGGGTTGCAGTTAACAAAGATGTACATGTTCTATAGATAAACAGCCTCTGTCCTGGAACAGAAATATCCATAATGCTAAAACCAGCACAAAACCCAGTGGTGTCCCACACCCAAGAATTTCACTTCTTTCTCAGCAGTGCCTCAATATTCTGTGGAGTCCAACAGCCCTTAACTGAGTCCACATCAAAATGAAAGCATGATTTTAAACTTTTACACATATTTATTTTTATATTGCTTGCAAAAATGCAAAATTACAAAGAAAACTCCTCAGATAATAATACAATTAGGCCAGTATTATATAGAACAATATGATGTAATAAATATAATATAATATAATATAAATAATATAATTAATATAATATAATTAATATAATATAATTAATATAATATAATATAATATAATATAATATAATATAATATAATATAATATAATATAATACAATACAAGTATCCATCTCAATTTGATGCATTACCTGTGGTTTGCCACAGTCACATTCTTCATTTTTATCGACCACATTATTACCACAGACAGGTTCTTTGTACACATTACTTGTTTTGGGAGGATTTCTAAGGCAGTTTCCTCCTCCACTTAGAATAAAGGCCTCAAAATCATCAGCACTACAGGTGCTGAAATTCCTGGATCCACTGGAAAGGATAATATTGTATTATTATAAATATTTTGCTTACAGGAGAACATACAACTCAAGCTCTTAAAATATTGTTGTTCCATAATAAATATTGTATTTAATAATGCTAGGAGATCATAAACCAGTTAATTTTTATTTTGCTTTGCATTAAAGTGCAGTACCAAAAGTTTAAAATCCTATTATAATACGAATGCTTTTAGAGGCCAGAGACCATCAGATTATCTATTCTGGTGTCCTGTATGAAACAGGCCTTAGAAATTCTATACTGAGTCTAAAAATGTTTGATTAAAAAATATTCTCAGGAAAACATTCATCTTAACTTGGAGTCCCTAAGAACTGAGGAATGCTCCTTCCTAGAGTAGTTTTGTCCAGTGTTCAGTTACCCTGATTATTAATACAACTTGGGATAAATAAAATATTATGATCTTTTTCTCTTAAGGGGAAGCCAAAGAATAAATGAACTGAAGGAAACATAAGCCAAGAAGGTTTTTTTAAAATTAACTGTTAAATAATTTGTTGCATATTTGCACAAACCCATGAGTACATGGAAAGCATTCTCAACAGGGTGAAAAAAACTCCAGCAACACACTATTATTAAAAAAATAATTAAGTCCAAATATATTCTTAGGAATATTACAAATAAAGAATGATTGGGTCAGAAAACAGATGAAATTTCATATAAATTAAAATTATGTCAAATACTAAGTCAGTGACTCCACCTCTGTGATCAAATTTTTCAAACAACTCCCCATCCACTAATTCAAACAATTCTTCCAGATTCACAGGAGCTTCACAGCTTGTAAGACATAGTCACTGCAAACAAAATAAATTATTAAAATGAGATAAGTGAAAATCTTACTTATCTGTGCTGTGCATGATATAGTTTGCAGGACACCTCTTGTCATCATGTTTCATTCCCAGATTGTGCCCCAGCTCATGTGCCACTACTGTGGCGTGCCGTAACATTTTGTCATGATTCAGCTAATAAAGAGAATCAAATTTAAAAGAGTGAAACTATGGAAAATACTGTTTGTACCCAGTGATTTACTCCCACCACAAAGCTCTCAGGGACTGTGAAGGCAGAATACCAAATTGTATTGTAAGGTGAAAGCAGCAAGGACTGAAAATTTGTCACTTTATTTTCAGGTAGGGCCAGATTCTGCCACTCCTTCCCTGAGGATCACATTCTGGATAATAAGTTGGCAGATGGTCTGGATCAATATTGAAAGTTTTATTCTGTGTGATTCTGTTCTATTTTAATACTGTTAGGCATTGATTTCAAAGAGCCTTCAACAACAAATGTACTGGTAAAGAACAGAGTCTGCTTCTGAGATTGTCCACAATGTTGTGGCATCCATACTTTAGGACAAGAACCTCTGCAGTTACTGGTTCTGCCCCAAGGGTGGAGAAAAAAATTAGTTTTGTACTAATTTTAATTTTTTTTGCCTGTTTACAATGCTATTGTGAGGAATTCCAGACACTTGAGACTACAGTGTTCACTTTCTATTTAAAGATTATTTTGTAGTTGCATTCCAATCCCAATCTCTGTGGTTATAAACTTCAATGGTATAAGGATGAGCTTATGCAATATTGAATTTGATGAATCACACAAGATGGCCAAAAGAATTTGTTGAAGATTCAATGAGCCAAATGGGCTGGAATTTGACAAAGAAATTGGGAAGTACTTTAAAAAAAATGGTGTAAAATATGCACAAGTCTTTACTTAAGAAACTCCATGAAAGAAATCAACCAACTCCACGACCAGGGTGATTTGATCAAGTAGGTCAAGGCCCAGATTCTTCCACACCCAAATGATGATGTACTCACAGTGCTGATTGACCCTCCCTGGACATGTGAGCACACAGTGCCCACAAAAGCCATTCCAATGGATCCACTGAAAGAGCTTCTCCCTCTGCAACAAGAGCAGTTTGGAGGTGGTGTTAGAGGAGGGTTCAAAGCTCATGATTTCTACTAAAAGACACTGATAAATTGGAAATATTGCAAGGCAAAATTTGCTCTTCCTGAAGTCAAGAAGGAATTTAGCACCACAGCAGGGTTTTATTCTAATTAATAATGAATATCTGAATAAGAACTTGAAAATAATGATCAATCACTTAAGTCTTCTGTGTCAGTGCACTCAATTACAGAAAGGCTAAGGAGGGAAGGGACCTCTGGAGGTCACCCTGACCCTGGAGCTGATTAACTCTTAAGAATCCGTTATACTTTCTTGTCATTTTTCCAGGTTAAACCATTTTGGAAGTGCAGAGAATTTTACTCCAAGTATATTTTAATGAATGTACAAGCCCCAAATCATATAGATTAGCATGGCTGGTTTTGCCACTGAATGCAAACTTACATTATGAGGTGAGCAACGTCATTCCTTGAGCGCTTCAGAAGATCTTTCTGTCTCCAAGAAACAAATCTACTCAGCACGTCCCCAGCTGAACCATCCATCACAGATATGTGGTTGGCATCTGTCCAAATCTCTAATCCAACCAAAACAATCTGGATGTTTATTGCACTATACATCTGAAATAAAAATTATAATTAATGTCCCTCAGCTGTTCTGATGGAATTCTGAAAGATGACTTCATTACTGCTGAGTAAACAATAAGCTGAACATAGTGACCAAGACATAACTTCAGTTTCTTTGAAACTCAATATATGATAATTGTAATTATAAGTGAAATATAAATTATTCATAAATTGCAAACTGAATAAAAATATTTAGAATGTAAAATGAAGTATAACTGAAAACACTCTATTTTATGAAAGTACCTAAAGAAAGCTGCTCTTCTGAACACTATCATAAAATAGAAACTACTGAATCCAGGAAACCTTTCTGACCTACCCCATCAACATAATTAATCAGCTCCACTGTTTCCTTTTGCACTGCAGCAGGATCAGAATTCTTCAGCAAAAACTGTAAAATACCACAGCAATGTCAGAGGAGAAAAATTAGCAAAAGAATAAAATGTATTTAGTGCTGGATGATATAATTACCCTGTGGTGATCCACAACCACATATAACTCTACATAGCTTTTCTGGGGCAGGACAGCTCGCTTCTCCTGCAAATGAGAAAGCACAGCAAATTAACATAATGAGTTTGCAATGTTGCAATTTGTAACGTGGCCTCAATTTGTGTCAGATTACCCCACAAACATCTCTGTGTCAGTAATTCACAGCAGGTCAGACACTGGGATGCATGAGCTGAATGGCAGCTTGTGCATTTCATGTCCTGCCCACAGCTGTCCTGGCCAGACTCTGCTGGGTGAGATCCCCACTGTGCTGATCTTCTGCTCCAGGATTTCCTCAGCAGGGCTCCCACCAGGTTGGTGTCCATGGAAATGAAGGCACAAGGAAATGTCCTGCCAGGCCAATCCCACCAGCAAGAGCCCTGGAGATGCCTTGGACTGCAGCTCAAGGGAGAAACAGAAATATATTTACCCTGAGGAGCCTGTCCCTGCTGGAGGTACTGTTTGATGAAAATGTGTATTTCACAGGCTGCTTCACAACCATCTCATGCTCCAGGCTGCCATTCAGCACCCCACAGTGGAAGGGGATACCCTGCTCATCTTCCAATTCATAAAGCACATGTTCAAATGTGCTGGATGTGTTGAGGGGCTCCATTCCGTACCATTTGCCTCCAATGTAGAGAATTCCCCTAACAATCATAATAGAATGAAACATTATTTCATAGTTTTTCCCTTGTGGTTATGACTAGATGAATGAATAACAGCTGGATACTTAGACACTATGTTGAAAGAAATTATTATTTGAAATTATATTAACATGGGGGTAAGTTCAAATGCCCAAAAAAAGATAAAACAGAACTTATTTAAAGTACTCAGCAAGTGTGATCTTCTTGAATCAGTTAGAAAAGGAAGAGAAAAAAAGATAATGAAGCCAATAGTAAATGTTACTATTGTTAGTAAAATGTTAGTAAATGAGTCTGGATTGTGGGTACAGAGCTGATGCAAAGGGTCCCTTTCAGCCCTTATCTCTACTCATTTAAAGAATTGCCAAGATATGTCCTGATTTATTGTGAGTGACATCACTCTGTGAAACTTCACCTGAAAGTTACATGGGTGAATTTTATCCCCTTTGTGATTTTATTGTATTTGAAACACAAAAACCAGTTCAAATTTGGCCCAAATTTTTTCATGGAAATGGTTTGTCTTTTGAAAGGTGCCCATTCATCAGACAAAGTTGTTTGCAGGGGTGTTTTAAGTTCAAAAAAAGCTTCATCAAGATAAGTTTTTTTTTCCTACAAAGGTATCTCTGGTCACAACATTCACATCAAGTACTGGAAGCCTCAGGTCATGGCCAGTTTCTCCCTAAATTTATTACAATTTCTCTCATATTATCTTTTTATCTATGAAGGAATTTTGGAAAAGAGGAAAAAAGTGGGAATTGAGGGAAACCATAAAAGCTACAATGAGTTTCAGCTTCATTAAAAGGTGAAATATTAAAAAAAATAGGAAGAGGAAATACCTAAGGCCATCACATGTACTAAGAGCAAGTGTGGAGTCAGCAATTCCTTCAACAGTGCCATGATAATAACAGTGTGTCTGAAATGCAACAAACCCACATAATTAGTGACACAACAAGGTGGCTGCCTTCAACTGCAAACTTATTTTCTAACTAACCATATTATTTCCATGACATCAGGGCTGGCTGTTAGAAATTTACAGAGCTCCCTACTTGCAAAGTAATCCTGATCTTCTTGGAGGAGATTATCCCTTGACATGAGTAGTAGTAGCCTTTGGTCCCTTAGTTCTAGAACACAGCCAACTTTTTAGTTTAACCCATCAACATCTTTTATATTTTTTATAATTTTAATAGAATTTTTATAAAATTATAAAATATTTTTATGTTTTTAATCTACATTGCTCATCTTGCTTAAGAATTGCTCTGAGAAGATCTTCCATGCACAAACCACCCAATTAAGTCTCACTAAACTCACGTGCAGTTTAAGATGAAATTAAATTTAGAAGTATTTATAAGGTTTGTTTGATACAGGATTGAAAAACTCCAGAGCTGTGATGCTGCCATTGTACTTTAATTTGCATATTATGCAAAGGTGGCTCAAATTCAGACTTGGCATAATCTCCTTGCAAATCCTTTCACACCTTGGGGAACAGGGGTGCTGCACCCCACAAACAGCCCCATCCCTCATGGACCTCATCTTTAGATCACTGGTAGCTGTTAAACAGAAATGCTCCACTCTGAAAACTCACAAAAGTCTCATTCCCAGCAAATCTATTTTTTCTTGGCTCCCCTGGTTTTTCAGAAAAAATTCTGCCACAAAGGGGAAGTTTTATTATGTACAATACCTCATTTTTGGATGGTGTTGCCTGCAGTTTCCCATTTTCCCCATATGTGTACAGCTTAAAGTTGTCACTGAGAAGTTTTCTGGAAACAAAAATAAACTACAGCTCTTTTAATGGTCTAGAAACAAGAAATCAGTCAAGAGTCCTGGTAAGTGCCACATTCTGTTAGCAGCAGACTCAATGCTAAATTATTAAAATCCAAGCACATGAAACAAAATACTTTAAAAGAAGCTGGAATTTTTGGAAAATAAGTTATTTTGAAACTTATTTATTTTAACTAAAATATCCATAGAAAGGAATCTAAGCAAACACAGTTGCATAAGGACCTGGTCTATTACAGGCTCAGGAATGAGGAATAAGAGAAACAGAAATATTTCTTAAAATACAACAGAGCTAAAACCCCTCTGACTAATAAAAAACTAATATTTAACTGAATTCTAATTTTTCTTAAGGATTTTCTGAAATCTTCTGTCTTGCACTGCTAATAAAAAAATAATCAAAATTAATTTCTTCAAATCTAGAAAAACTTTTATTCCCTTCTATTTACAAGATATTACCATAACAGAGACACTATATTTAACAGTATTTAACAGAGCTGTTTCGTAGTTCCTACAATCTGACATTTAAGTGGTTTCTTCTGAATTTTTTCAGTATAAAAATTCTTCTCTGTATGCAACTAACCCCGAAACAAGGCAATTCCTTAGAACACTCTATCACATACTTATTTTTCTTCAGCTTTAGGAGGTATGTTCCATTTCTGGTTTTAACTGAGTAAGAAAGATTGTCATCTGAATGCTCCTGAAAACAAAAGAAAATATATCATTTAATTAGGTGATTATTCCATGTTTTGCTTGACAAGAGAAGCCCAACTCCTGTCTAAGTTTTAAGTAAAACACCACAAGATTCCTAACTCTCAGGCTTCCATATTTCAACGCTCAGCAGCAAAGTGAACATTCTCCCCTATGTAAAGTGTAAATTCTGTGAATCTATATTTTCATTTAGAGGGGAGGGCACAGTCCATGAATGCACTCTTTGCTCAGTACCACATCGTGCTTTGTGACACTCCTTATGTAAATCAGATAAACGAGTCCCAGTCTTTTATCCCCTAATTGGTTTGCATAAAGGTGACTAATGGTGTTTCATTAACAGTTACTTCAGTAAATGAACTCAGTATCTGGCACAAAGGTAAGTTACCTCAGAACTGAAGAATTAAGGCTCAGGTTTCTCTTTTAACTCATCTCTAAACCTGTGCCACCCTGTGGGACCATTTTTATCCTTTGGGTGCCACATGGCTGAAATCCTCTGGTTCTTATCCAAAGACCAGAACACGGACAGCATGGATGTTAGCTCAAGTTCAACATCTAATCTGACTCAGGAGAAATAAAAATATTCTTCATGTCCCTTCTCACTTCTGTTTTACAAGATCATTAACAGGATTAGAAGTTTGGAAGGCACTCAGAGTACAATCACAGGCCTTTGTGGGAACAAATTTACTTAAAACCAGCTGAAAACACTAAGAATCAGAAGAGTGAGTGTGGGGAACATTTCATTACAAACATCTCTATATACCATCCACTGTGTGTGTGTGTGTGTAATGAAGGACAGTGTTTTGAAAAACAGCAACAATCAGAAAAAAAGAAAATATCAGAATAACAAACCTCATGAGAAAATGGGGGATGTTTCTGTCTGCCTGTCAGACTTCGTGGAATGATTATTTCTAATGTAGAAAGTCTGGGTGTGTGTTCAGAGGATACACCTGAAAATAAAGTTTGAAATTGGTAAAGAATCAGAAAGGATGAGGCATTATGTGGCCCTTGCACAGTGGTGATAGCCAAAAGCCTACTCTGATCCAGCCAGAAATGGAGAAAGAATGAAGAGTTCAGGAATGATCAAAATGACTTTGAAAAAAGTTACTTCTGATTAAAGCTGGGGTCTTCTGGAGCACATAAAGAAAAACTATCACAGCGTTTTAACAAAATCTTAATTCTCTCATATTCTGGATTATTAACTTTGTGGCTTTATCATTTTTTCTTCCATGACTAACCCAACTTTTAACCTGATGTACCATAGGAAATTGGTGCAGCTGGCCTTCTTCTTTTTCCATTGTCCTGAATAAGGAATACTTTTAGTTGTCCACTGGATACAATTTGTCCCCCTCCCTTCCCTTCCCTTCCCTTCCTTAGAAAACATGCCTCACCACACTGCCTCCTGCCATTGCCTAATCTTGCATTTTGTTTGTTCTAGCAACAGTCAGATCTTTGCAAAAGGTTTGTAGCCTTTTACATGATATCAGAATTATCTCCAGAACAACATGCTAATGCAGGAAGCTAAAGATAAGAAGGCTGCCAAGTATCTGGTTTCAGGTAAGTGGCTTTATAAAGACAAAACCAATCTCCAGTGACTTTAAAAAATTGTGTGAAGTTGAATTAATCTTTCTTTTTCTTGTCTGCTCATCAACTGGTTTGATCAACAGAGACACAACCATTGCTTTTAAACAGAATCAACAATAATATGAGTTTTAACAATGGAAGTGGTTTCTTCCTTATTAAATTGTTCTTTTATAAGGAAACAAAGAGATTTCTTCACATTTACAATCACCCTCAGCTTCCCCATTCCTGTGAAAGGAATTCATAATTGCAAAAAAGTCACACAACCAGCCATTCAAAGTGAGGAGGTTTCTCCAGTGTAATGATGATCTCTACCTGTTAGATAGCATCAGGATTTTTAAAAGCCAGGTGCAGGTAGCATATGTTTAACAAATACAGGCTGCAATTGCAATCAAAATGTGCAAGCTGATATTAGCAAACTGGTCTGAAAAGAATATCAACACTTCATGTTGTGATTTTGCTCTTAATCTTCAATAATTTTATTACCTAAATCACAAAATCCATTCTGTTTCATGATTCAAGTGTATGTTGAACTAACCACGGAGATGTTTTTTTTAACAATTCAAATTTTGACAGCTGAAAGCAGGAAACTGTCTTTGATGCACGTCATAAAAATACCACTTTCTAAGAAACATTCCAGGTGTTACACTTAAATCTAAAATGTGAAGCCAAATCATAAATTGAGATGAATTAATGAAATATTTCAATGAAATTGGAGGAATTTCCCTCACATCAGCAAAGAAGAAATGTTTTTCTACTGTCCCTACTATTGGTGAGAGTGACAGCAACTGCAGTTGTCACAACCAGAAAATGATGGATTTACATACCTACGATATCCAGGAGGAAAAAAACCCACAAAGAGCTCAACTATAAAAAGTTTCAATCTGTAATCTTTTCCAAGATTCTCTCAATGAGCAGGGCTGCACAGGGAGAGCTGTGGCTCAGTGTCAAAGGTGTGCATCATTCCAATCAGTGTCCAAGCAGACTTGGAGAAAACTTTCTGAATACATAAAAAAAGAAAGCTTACCTTTTATCCAAAAAGGGTTTCCAGTAAAAATTAGTCCAAAAGTGAACAAAAAGAAGCTGTGCATTAACATGACTTCCCAGAGAAACTACTCCAGCAGCATCTGAGCTGGCTCTGGCTGCTCTGCAGGGAACCAGAAGACCGAGAACCGTCTGCTCCAAAGGTAAACAAGAGAAAAAGCTCTCTGATACTGCATCTCTGCTGAGGAAATGGGAAGTAAAATTTAATCCACTAGGCTTGTGAGAAAACTGGTCAGACAGCCTAATGCAAATAAAAAGTGGCACATTCTTAAATGCTGATTGGTGAGTCCCGTGTCAGGATCAAACTGGTTTATTCTAGAGGACTTTCATCCCACGGTGAGATCATGTGAGATTAGAAACATAAAATATTGCTACTGACAAATGCAGTGTTTAGGATGTTTATCCTGGCTACTGCCGGCTCAATAAAAAACTAGTGTGAATCAATTTACTCTTTGAAATTTCAGCTTCTTTTCTTCAATTTTTTTCATCTTCACTTTAAAATATAATGCATATGAACACATGAAAATCCCCCAAACAGAGGTTCTACCCAGTCCCTTCTATGTTAAACACAATTTCCTCACCAGAAGTCCGTAATTTTGGGCAGATCATTGCTCTTCCAGGATCAGAGTCATCTTCCACGTAACCACATTGTCACCAAAAGCAGAAAAGAAATGCTTCTAAAAGTGGATGAGTTTGCAACGCATTTCAGAAGTATCAGGCGCATTTAGAAACAGAAAAATGAGGCTGAGACAACACACTCAAGCATTTACATTAATTAATTTTAATTAAGTCTTTGATTAAAGCAGAGAAAATTCAGTTTTCCATTGCTGGTAAATGCTATAAAACAATGCCTTAAGTGACAAAAAGCAGAATGCTGGCTGTATTTGCAATATTAGTTTGTCAAAGCCCATCCAGGTCCATTTCCAGAGAGTCACAGGCTGAGAACAGCCTGAACATTCCTGCACTGAGCACTGGTGGAAGCAGAACCTGACACCCTCATTCCCTGGGTCTGTGTCTGCCACAGCCTCAGGAGCAGCGTTCCCCAAGTCCAGAAGGTGAGATCCTCCTGCAAATAAAATGAACCCCATCTTTTATTGATGGCCTCTTTAATTCATAGCCTCTCTCCTGCGTGGTGCGCTATCAGGACACAAAACTCGGGAGAATCCCATTGCTGCAAATTTTGACATATTAGCAAGTTTCACAGAATTCAAGAATCATTTCAGTAGGAAAAAACTTTTGAGGCATTGAACAGGGAAGCCTGTTCGGTGCTGGATCACACTGTGGGGGAAGAACCTTTTCCTAATATCCACCCTAGACCTCTCCTGGCACTTCGCGGTCAGCCTCTTCTCCCGAGCAACCAGTGGCAGGACAAGAGGATATTGCCTTAAACTGCACCACAGAAGGTTTAGGGTGAACATTATGAGCAATTTCTTCTCAGAACGAGTGATTTGACATTGGAATGGGCTGCCCAGGGAGGTGCGGGAGTCAGAGGTGTTTAAGGACGTAGCCAAGCTATGGTTGGCACGGGTCATATGTTGGACTCAGTAATCTCTCACAAGGTGTTTTCCACGCGAATTAACTCTGGCTCTCCGCACCCCTTAAGCCATCCCCAGGCTGAAGGTGCCGCCCGGGCTGAGGGTGAATGTCACCCGGGCTGAGGGTGACAATCCCCCGGGCTGAGGGGGCCGCTCCCCCGGGATGAGGGTGCCGTCTCCCCCGGATGAGGGCGCCATTCCCCCAGGCTGACAGTGCCGCTCCCCCGCTGAAGGTGCCGTCTCCCCGGGCTGACGGTCTCGTTCCCCCGGGCTGAGGGATATCGTTTCCCCGGGCTGAGGAGGCCGCTCCCCGTTCCCGCTCCCGGCGCTCCCTCGGGCGGTTCCCGCCGCTGCCCAGCGCGCACGCGCGGAGCCCCCGCGCTGCGCAGGCGCGTCCCGGCCGCGGCGGCCGCTCAGGGTCGGTCGGTGCCGGTCCGTGCCGCTGCCCCGCTGCCGGCTGTCCCGGCCGGGCTCTGCCAGCGGCTCCGCGATGTCGAGCGGCTGCGCGGCGGCGGAGGAGGAGGCGGAGGAGGGAGGCCGGGAGCCGCGCTGTGTGTCGGCGCGGTGCTCCTGGCCCTGCGCGCCGCCGGGAGGCCTGGCCCGGGCGCTGTGCCTGCGGCGGGGTGCGGGGGACGGCGAGGAGCCCGGGTGAGGGCGGCGGGCGGCGAGAGGGGGCGCCGGGCTGGGCCGGGCCGGGCCGGGCGGGAGCGGGGCTGAGGGGACAACGCGTTTCGCTTCCCCCTCGCAGTGGCGAGGCCGTGCTGGCGGAGCGGCGGGAGGGCGGCGAGGAGCCCTGCGAGCTGCGGCTGCAGTGCCGGCCCGGCGCCGAGATGGTGTCCGTGGGCATCGTGAGCCAGGCCCGCAACATGGAGGTGTACGTGGGCGAGGAGTACTGCGGCACCGGCCGGGGACAGAGCCGCGGCACCCGCCCGGCCCCGGGGTGAGTGGTGGGGCCCGCACACTGCTCTGTGGGTGAGGTGATGCTGCTGATCGAGGCCTGTAACAAGGCTGAGAGAACTGAGCTTGTTCAGCCTGGAGAAGAGAAGGCGCCTGGGAAGAGCCTAGAGCCGTTTCCACTGCCTAGAAAGGATGCGAGAGAGCCGGAGAGGGACTTCGGACAAGGGCTTGGAGAGATAGGATGGGGAGAATGGCTTCACACTGCCAGAGGGCAGGGTTAGGTGGGATATTAGGGAGAAATTCCTCCCTGTGAGGGTGGGCAGGCCCTGGCACAGGGTGCCCAGAGCAGCTGTGGCTGCCCCTGGATCCCTGGCAGTGCCCAAGGCCAGGTTTGACAGGGCTGGGAGCATCCTGGGACAGTGGAAGTTGTACATGCCGCGGCAGGGGTGGCACTGGCTGACTTTAAAGGTTCTTTCCAACCCAGCCCATTCTTGGGTTCTCTGAAAGTCTTTTTGATAAGTAGTCGTCTCACACTTCAAAGAACAAGAGAGAAGATTTAAAAAAGAAGGTTCTGTTTTCCCCTTCAACACTTCCTTCCCTGCTTTGCCAGGGGAAATAAAGCAATGTTTCTGTTTTGTTTTTAAGTCATTACATGGCACATCTGCTGCCTAATTAGCTAACTAGAAACCAGCCGACTCAGAGCCTCAGGGAGGATGGGTGAATAATGTCCTGAACCTCAAAAGCTTCTCTAGTGCACAGTGCAAGCACACATACAAGTAATTTTTACATAAATATTTCATAAGATTAATTACAAGTTGTATATAAGCATTAAGGCTGCTATTAGAAAGTAAAAACACTGCGAAAAACTAGAAACTAAAACTGCTGTTGGAAACCATAAATCTGCATTAGAAATGTGTTCCTGTCAGTCTTGTTTCTTATCTAAATATTTACCAATATAGTGTATTTCTACAAAAGAAAAGTACCTTGTAAATTGATGTCACAGCTTGTTTATTTCATTTTTCTAGTGAAACTGAAGAGGTTACTTTGTACCACAAGTACCTCAAGTTTGAATGCCCTGCAACCTCCTGTAGAATTAAGGTAGGGAGTTGAACAGCATTGTTTTATTTTTCTTCTATCTTTTTAATCATTCAGTCATTAAAATTGCATTGCTCTTAATAAAATTACTGCTTTTATACACTTCATCTCTTCACATAATCACTTAAAAATCTGTTGGCTGGTACTTTGTCTTGATGGCAGAGTGCTCCTTTTAAGTTGGTATCTCAGTTTTCTTTTTGTGAAGACTTTATATGATACAGCTATTTAGTCTTAGAGAAAAAAACATAAACCAGATAAACTGCAGATCTGTGATTAGAACTGTCAGCTCTGGGGTTAAATAAGCTTGTGAAAATCGTGTGGCCATGACTCTTGAATGCTTAGAAAAACTTCATTTATCTTTGGGGTACTCAGGCACCTCTGTTCCAGTCAGAATTTTATGGGGAATAATAGCAAGGGGAAATTGGCTTCATTTCCCTGCAAAAGAGTTCATCACCATTTTTCCCAAGACTCAAAGAACAATAACATTGTCCTCTCTGTACAAAGAAAACATGAAATGTTTTTTTCCCTAACCAAAGTATTTTTTTTTTCCCTTCTTGCAATAGCTGCTCTCCTTTGGTGAGAAACACAGAGTACTCATCAATAAAATAATTCTAGAAGTGAAAGCAGTGTCTGCAAAACTAGCAACTGATTTTCCTTCACTAGGCTTAAGCATAGATCTAGACAGAGTGCAAACTATAATGGAATCCATGGGATCTAAGTTGTCTCCAGGTGCTCAGCAGCTCATGGACATGGTCCGGTGTCAGCAGAAGGTAAGTCACTGTTCCACAGGCACAAACTGGCACTTTACCAGGCAGGAATGCTCTAAAGAGATTTTGGGGTGTTTTAATCTCTACTTTCTGCTATTTTCATCCTGATTTAACTGTTGCCACTCAAATGAGTGCAGTGAGTAAAGACTGTGTTCTCCATACTACTACTACTACTTATTCTTATTTATTATTATTATTTGCATTGCTGTAATTTTAAGCTTCACTGCTGGTTAAGGATGGTGGGCATTTTCCCTGGAATGTTTGGGGTGTAGATAGATGGGCTGGTTTGTCTCTTTAATGGTCATTATATATATACATATATACATATTTAATATCTATTATATATATATATATAAAATCTAAGAATCCTGAATCCATCTGATGTTAATAATTCAGTTTTGGGGACACAGCATGGTAAAAATGAAGTCATTAAAGCTCTTTTCTTACTTAGACATTGACAACATAATTAATACTTCATATTTGACAAGGAATGTAGTTCAAAACTATTTTTAAAATCTTTACTAGTGGAATGCTGGGTTATAATGTATCTATTGTTACTGCTATATAATTTCCAGTGTATTTGAAATCTCAAATACTCAAATGGGTTTCTCTCCCCTTCAGAACAGTTTCCCTCTTGGAGACAAGCTCAGTTGGATCATGGGCAGAAATTCTGACTTTGGAGGTGACCATGCAATAGATGGAATGCACAGAGCAGCTCTGCAGCCATCACTGAGTCCAGCAGCCAGTGAACCTTTGCCT